AGAAAATGGAAGGCAATATATTATAGTGACGGGAGGAGAAGGGGAAGTTAAAAATGAATTCAAAATATAAGCACAAAATGAATTCTATAGGATGGAGAACAATGTCGAAATTACGGAAACCTAATCACATGATTAACACCTACTTTTATTTTTGCATAATGTTGTGCGATTACGTAAGAACAGCATTAAAATGTAGGACTTGTTAGAAGCGTTACATAAACTTGAATAACAGCAGTGACGTAATGAATATCAACGACCACTTCCCTTCCAATCAATTATTTTGTAAAGAAAATGTAGATTTTTATCTTGTTAAACAGCCAAACAAAAACACAACCGTCGTTTTCAAAATAGTCTTTTCAGTGTGCCCCCTTTCCCCCTTCTCTTTCTCTTTCTCTCTCTCTCTCTCTCTCTCTGTCTCTCTCTCTCTCTCTGTCTCTCCTTCTTTCTCTTGTTACGAGAATATTCAGTGCACAAAACGATACATTTACTTTTCTACTCTTCAGGTTTTTTTCTCCACATGTATGTATGTTTGTTTTCTACAAAGCAGCGCATTCTGATATCAAATATCCATGGGTCTAAAAGCCAAATATTGTTTATACTAATGTAATGATACAAATCCTTATCTCCATATAACACGATACTTAAATAACAGAGATTGAGCGAAAGTATTTGAGTACAATTATTTGAAATTGGCTTCTGTGGGGCTTGTGACGAAATTTTTCATCCGACTCGCGTCTCGAACATCAACATAACAAAATACACGCTTGTAATTATGTATTCAAACAATATCTTATCCAGTGACTCTTTATCAAAAAATATATTTTCAATGTAAAAACTGTCACAACTTTTGATCATTTGCTCGATCGCAAAATTTAGAACTATGTAAAGGTGATATTTGGGCAAGAGACGTAAGCCCTGAATTTGAATTGTTCTCGTTCACATATGCCTAAGAAAATGTATCTTTCTGCCATAGGACTAACCAATCTGGGTAGACTTTCATGCGATTAAATTGATTAAAACTCTTCATCAATTCAATAATACTGCTACAATACTGTATAGTCATGCGTAATGAAAATTGCTAAGAAAAATGATCGCATCTCTTGGCCACTTTCTCATTACCTGTTTACGCCCTTCCCCTACCCCACGTTAAAGGTCTGAATGTTAATTTTGCTTCTCTATACACCTCGAATGTATGTAGTATGTGAAAAATTGTCGGTATAAAACTGTAAAGCATGTGGTTATTTCATCAACAACAAAAACAATCAAAAGGAGTGCTCCTCGTAAGAAGTACCGCTTACTTTCGTCATTTATCTGCCTTCAATATCACCAACGTTGACAAAGGCTATCAAAAACTTAATAATTTCATTAGCCTTATCTACTCCGTTTTTAAAGCGCTTACATTAGAATGACATATTACGTAATCTGACTGAAGGCAATGCGATGGGCTAATATCTTTAAAATAAGCGCCTTCGTGATCGCGTTTGAAGTATTTTTATTTATTTTGATTGTGCAGTTCTTGATAATATTCGGTCGTTTTCATGTGAATAAGATAAGTAAAAACAGAATAAGAGGCAAACTAGGAACCAGGCCAATGCAATGAATGTTTGAATATCATGATACAATCATATGGTCAGCTGACGGCATTGCCACAGATTTTATTTGATAACAAAATTACTCTATTACGTAATATAACGTAAACCTTTGTCCGATTTGGTAGATAGTAATATATGCTCCTGCTTTCTCAAATAAACGTTTAAACAATTAGAGCGGAATACTCTTCATGATTGTTTAAGTCGATTTAGGGTTGTCACATGTGTTCGACTATATTTCACCCCCCCCCCTCTCTCTCTCTCATATCACACACACACACACACTTTCTCTGCACAAGGCGAATAATATAATATGCACAAAAATAAACATGGGTATCCATATTTTAGTGACCGGATTCAAAGCATATCAGTATTGTTAACATTCGGCATTACCTCAATCCACAATCGTCGTCACCATCATAATCATGACGATCGTCACCACCACATTCATGACGATCGTCACCACCACATTCATGACGATCGTCGTAATCATCATCCTCATCATTCTTAGCATCAACTTCTTTTTCGATATACCACAATGAGCACCACATCCCCACTGGTAATCATCCTTATCCATCATCTACATAACTATTCTCCTTTCCTCATCATTATCACCCTCATCATTTTCGTCGTCGTAGAAAGCATCCATCTTCACCATCACCATGATCGCCCCATCCTAATCATCTTTATTACTCTCCTCCTCCTCATCATCATCATCATTATCATATCCATCACCATCATCATGACCACTATCATTCTTATATCGTCTCACGACTCTCACCATGCATGTCGCGATACTCACGTCACCACCATCACTAAAAACGATGCACTCTAGCAATGGACCCAGTCATCTCTAAACAAAAACATTGTAGATCGTCGTATTTAAATATGCTTTATCTTGATTATTTACGATTTGTGTAATCTACGTACTGTAATACATGTGGTCATCAAGAGAATATACAATGGGTAAACCAGCCCATCCCTTCCCTAATCAACGTCATCAGACCAAAGAGTTATAGGAGAGCTAAGAAGAATTGGAATTTCAACTGATTCTATTGTCTTGTGATGCAGAGTCAAATTGCATCCATTATCATCCTACCAAGTTACGTCACATTACATCAAATCAAACGCGAGAGGGAGAGGAAAAAAAAGTCCCGAAGTCGAGAGACAACTTATTATTTAGCATGCCTATCGACCTTGGACTGGTCTAGCCTAACCTCAATCAACCTCCCTCGTTATCCCTATCACGAGCAAAAGACGCTCAAACTCAAACTACCCTACCCTTGTTACGTAATAGTTTCTTTACTTCTTTGGCCGCAGTGAGAGAGGACAGATACCATTCAAGGGAACATTAGAACTTACATAACATTGCGCAACGCGCGACCAGCGGTTTGTGGATGGGGGACACAATCTTATGTAAGAGTGTAATCATCATCTCTGGAATCCAATAAACCAGGCTTTGTTTTTCCAAGACTTTCCACGTACGTTACAATTCTTTTGTCATGTCGTGGCATTCCATTAGCTATAACGCACAACATTAAACGAACATAGGACATAAACAAAGTAAATTAAAGTCAGACAATCATCACATCCATCTACACACAACCATATAACAGCTACACACAATCAAACAGTACATGATCCTTGACTATTGCAAGTGTGGTACAATAATTATGTCACAAAAAGGAAGATCATTTGCGTAAAGTCACATTCCGAGAGGAATTCATTTTAATCTACAAATCTTGTTTGGTGCCATGAGTGTTTACGAAAATAAAAGATTTACAATGAACAATGCAGAAGCGAATGAAGAATGTTCTTTTCCACAATAATGATAAGTTATCCAAAATCTAGAGCTGCATGTACATTTTATGATTTTCAGTCCACCAATGCACAATAAGAGGCAAAATAGGTTATATCATAGACCTTGTGCAAGACATGAAAACCCGTTCAAAACTAGTAGTACATGTTCAAATCTAAACAAATCAGCCGCAAAGATTAAAAACGTTTATAAGGTTACGATATTCTATAATTACAGTCAGGAGATGGATTTATTCAACTGCTATAGCAATCATCTGAGGAGTTATTTTCCTAGAACTTCAATTTTGCACAATAATCAACTTGTATCTTCAATCAAAATTTGGCACATTCATGATTCAAAAACATGAAACAGAGGCATTCGTTTTAATGAAGCAAATTATGTTCATTGTGTCAAAAGTCTGGATGCTGATCAGTTTTTGCCGGATTACATATTCATCGATGAAGGAAAAAAACTAGATGGAATTTTGACTGCGCGCAGTCGAAAATGATGCCTCCGCCATAGAGCAATTTAAACAAGTTTGGAGTTTAAATCTCCAGTGGTTCTTGAGATATCATGATAACAATCTCAATGTATGGAATTTCATAAGTTGACCTCTGTGACCCTTGACCTTTGACCTACGTGCTCCAAAATCTAATCAGATTGTCTTCCTATGGTGATACACACTATCATTAAGTTTGAAGTTTAAATCTCCAGTGGTTCTTGAGATATTATGATATGGTGATACATACTATCATTAAGTTTGAAGTGAAAATTCTCCAGTGGTTCTTGAGATATCGCGATAACGATCTCAATGTATGGAATTTCATAAGTTGACCTCTGTGACCCTTGACCTACGTGCTCCAAAATCTAATCAGATTGTCTTCCTATGGTGATACACACTATCATTAAGTTTGAAGTTTAAATCTCCAGTGGTTCTTGAGATATTATGATAACAATCTCAATGTATGGAATTTCATAAGTTGACCTCTATGACCCTTGACCTTTGACCTACGTGCTCCAAAATGTAATCAGATTGTTTTCCTATAGTGATACACACTATCACTAAGTTTGAAGTTTAAATCTCCAGTGGTTCTTGAGATATCATGATAACAATCTCAATGTATGGAATTTCATAAGTTGACCTCTGTGACCCTTGACCTTTGACATACGTGCTCCAAAATCTAATCAGATCGTCTTCCTATGGTGATACATACTATCCTTAAGTTTGAAGTTTAAATCTCAAATGGTTCTTGAGATATCGCGCTAACAAACTCAATACAAGGAATTTCATAAGTTGACCTCTGTGACCTGTGACCTTTGACCTACGTACTCCAAAATCTAATCAGATCGTCTTCCTATGGTGATAAATACTATTCTCGAGTCTTAAGTTTAAATCTTAAATGGTTCTTGAGATATTGTGATAACGGTCAAACGGGACGGACGTACGGACGTACGGACGGACAACCCGAAAACATGATGCCTCGGCACCACCTTCGGTGGCGGAGGCATAAAAATCGTCTATATCTCGAAAATTCGAATGATAAAAAGAAGATATACCCAAATTCATGCAGTGTTTCCGATCTGAAATAGTTTGCGGGAATGTAACATTAGACTTGAAAAATTGCAGCTGTATACATACAATATTATTGTTTGAAATTGTTAAAAATAATTTACCTTGTCAAATCATTTAACCAAGTAAAAATGAAATATTATCAAAAAATAATTAAACATTTCTGGGGTACAATGTAGCATTATATTCTGATTTCTCAGTTACCAAAACGGATCTTTCAAAGTACATAATAGTGACTTGAATAATATTATGGACGTAATATCTTTGAATTGTTCAATTTGCTAGGCCATTTCATAGTATTCCAAATAAATAGGAGTAAAAAACGAAATATGAGATAAATAATGCAGTTATGTAACCAATAAGACAGACATATGATGGAAGCCAAGCAAACGTTAACGCAAAACTGCATTACTCTACAATCCTTAATGTTCTAAGAACTCAAGGAATTTGTACGATGACATGGAGTTGACAATGAGCTAATAAAAATAGATATTTACAGATGCACAAGTAAATACATGATGAAGTTCTTGGAGAACATCGCGGAATAAAGATGAGAAAAATGTTATTATTCACAATGACAACAATGATGACAATAACAGTAGCATAGAAAATAGCAAATGAAAATGCCAATAAAAGAGTTCAGTCGGTAAGCTAGCAAACCAACTGAACTAGATGAAGCCCTAAACTATCATGCAAATAATAAACGTTGCTAAAGAGACGTTAACACGAGCAATGTTTGCAGCAATATTACATGATTCAAGGAGTATCTCCCTCTAGCTCTGTCTACATCTAGCCTGGCTCTTGTGCCAGTACTACACATAAGAGAGCAAGTTAAGGCAATAGTTTGTACTATTTACAAAATACAAAAACGTTTCACATCATCACGCTTACTTATATCGTTGATATCGAAACACATGGTGCAGTATAAATTCAGAAATTTAGACTTTGGTTGCGATTTTTAAAAATGTCAACACATTGTCACCTGCCTCACACCATTGGGGTAAAATTCTGAAAAATGTGTAGCAATAAATTTTTCCAAGAGCGGGTTCAATTGATTTAGAAAAAACAAAACAAATGCAGCATTGATAAAAATGTCCCAACAAAGAATGAATCAATTTAATGTTCGCTCGAATGTGATCGTGAAATTTCCATTTAGTTCATGACTCGATCTTTCTTGAACCAAAGCTGAAGGATGGCTAGTTTACAGGAGGATGAACAGTCATGAATATGCAGCGAAGAAGCACAACTATAATATACAAAGTGTTTAACTGTTGTTGTTTGCGTAGAGCATAGATCGAAGTTTAACGGTTTCTTCTTTGAGAGCCGAGACTTCGATTTTGAGGCGAATATTTTCTTGTTCAAGCAGGGCAGCCCTGATGGCGATTTGGTCCTCCTTCGCCCGACGTGCATCACGGGATCGCTTCGCAGCCTCGTTATTTTTCCTTCTCCGCTCCCAGTATGAAATGTCTTTCAGCGTCTCAGGGAGAGTCATCCGCTTTTTCTTGTTTTTTGGTGGGTTCGCGACGGACTGGTGGGCTTCAACGGCTCGCTTCTGAATGAAACTGAAAGTTAGGGGGTCCACGTCCATGTCCATCGCCTTCCCAGCCAGAGTAGGAATTCTGAGAACTTCCCCAGCAAGCAGTGCATTGTCTTCCAAGCCGCTGCTGCTGTAATTGTCGACGGTGTTCGCCTCCATGTCTGAGCCAGCACCCGTGGACGATTCCTCCGAGGCATGCCTCTCCCTTAGGATCTTGTCTGCTTCTGTCGCCAGCGTCATCAGATGAGCATCGGTGGTCGACGAGGTAGTTTTTGCACCCACGGTGGTGGTAGTAGAGGAGGTAGATGAGGTGCACGATGGTGTCGAACCAGCGCCCGTCGAAACAATCGACGAGGCAGCCGAGGTAGTAGAAGAAGGAGATGTACATGGGATCATTGGTACGCCTGATACTAAGGGCAGGGAGGCGAAGGCAAGGGGCGCTGCTCCCGGCACGGCTGTCAGAGCTAAGGGAACGGAATAAGTCGCAAGAGAAGGAGCTCCTTGAGTTGTTATTCCAGAAAGAAGATCACGATTTGAAGTATAAATTTTGAATGGCCGAGCAGATTTTCCTTTGGACGATTGAGGGAAAAGCGGTAGACCTGCGACTGGGCTTAGTGGCTGTCCGTTAGAGTCTATGACGATCTGCTCCTCAGCGTTGCCCTCAATAACTGAGGCTTGATTGCTTGAATGACTTCCTCGTTTGTTCACGCTCATGTCGTCTGCTCCAGTTTGCCGATCTGCTTCACATTCATCACTAGGGGGCGCATTATCGTTTGACAGCTCCTCTTCCCCAACCACGCTACTCATGTTTTCTGAGTTTATTCCCTCGTCGCTATTCCCCACATCGTTATCCTCATCGGGTGGCTCCATTTTGATTTTCTTCATGCTCAGATCGAGGGTCCCATCACTGCTGAGCCTGTCGTCCAAGTCTTCCTCGCCATGGTAGACGGAGTAGCTTGGAACTCGCTCAATCTTGGTGGTATGAGCACATTTCCTCCTGGACGGCATGGTGATGCTGGTATGTGTTGTCTGGCGACCAGGGTTAGATCAAGTGAATGACCGTCTCGTCCTCGCCTGTCTGTCTGCCTGCCTACCCACAGGTCCAACAATCCTCTCAACCAGTCGTGTCCTCGTGGTGTCTCTGTACAACAGGGAGAGCAACAAAATAATACTTGGTCAAATAATGCAGTTGATCCAATTATCAAGTCAGGCACACTTGAACGGCTTTTTCCCCCCTTATGATTTTTAACAAAGACCGATAATATTTTAGGTCGTAACATTTCACTCTCAACCCGCATGAAAATATTTTGTAGAAAATTCAAATTCCTAAATTTAAATTCGGTTGAGGTATAATAAGAGAGAGTAATCCACAGACTTTCATTTTAAATAATTTATAATGGATAATAATATACATAACATCTGTGTGAATCATTATGTGGGCTTCATCAGCAAGTTCATGTATCGTAGTCTAATATAGATAGTCTCCGATTGTAAAGACTTTGAAGACGATCTTGAAAATCAAATACTGAGGCCATTAAAAAAAAATGGTTGTCCATCAAGTTTGAACGTGTGAACATTACAATGAAATGGTATGTAATCCGAACATGATAGCCTATAGAGTAGACACTTATGTTTTGAAACTTTCCCTGAGTTGATTTCTGGGAAGCCCTTGCGTCGTGTACGACCCGGGGGGGGGGGGGTACACACATATTAAGACATACGGGGATGTACTGCTCTATAAAATGGGTCGCTTCTTCACAAAAAAAATCCCTAAACATGGGTTCAATTTTCCACAAAAATATCAGAACATGGGGCTGTTTTTTCCAAAATTGTAAAAAAAAAAAATGGGCCTAAATGTATATTTCTAGAAAAATTTGTCAAAATGACACTTAAACATGGGTAGAGGTTTCGAGGCTTGAGCAGCATTACCCCGTCCAAATAAAATCTGAGTACCCCCGCCCGCCCCCCCCCCCCCCCGTGGAAGACATAATTTTCAAGAATCATTATGTACATGTATGTGAAATGGAACTGAAATATTCTCATAAAACAATTCTTTAACAAACATTTATTTGTTTTAGAACACCACCAAATATCCCAATTTCCAACATATTCTACACAAACACACCAAACTTTTCATACAAAATGAAGTAATGTTACCCAGGGAATTTTTTTTTTTACACGTGGTATGAAAAAAAAAGATGGCTTGAACATTAAACACGATAAATGACGTGGATAATATTCATCAATTGCTACGTGGTTATTCACTTCAATGGAAGATCAATTATGTTCCTACAAAATTATGAATAATTCTTAAAAGAAACAAACAAAGGAAGTTCATGATGTGTAAATACATTACGAGTTCAAAGGTATATGCAACAATTTGTACCGTTATTTGTTTCAATAACAAAAATAATAAAATTCAGGCTTAAACAAATACAACAATATGGGTAACCCTGCTCGTTAGAATTTTATATCCAATATAGATAAAGCTTTTTATATTTTAAAGCCGGGTGTCAAAAGCCAATCAAATAATATATCAGTCGTTTCGATAAGGCTTCAACACAGAAAGACCATCAATAATTTACAGCCATGCATGATGAACATTGTATGGACATCACATATCAGTGTTCAATCAGAGCTAGTATAGCGCCCCCTAGGTACTGACACATTTTAGTGAACCTCAGTACTCCATAATCCCAGGCAGCATAATGGCACTATGTTTGTATTGCATTGCTGCTCGATTGCCCATTGTATGTGACCAGATTTGACTCATTCATTCTCTCTTATCATAAGTGAGTGGGTGAGAGAGAGAGAGAGAGAGAGAGAGAGAGAGAGAGAGAGAGAGAGAGAGAAGGGGTGGGCGGCGGAGGTATGAGCATAACTTACTGTTTTATTTTGTTCTGTAGAAAAAGCCATGCACCAAATAAAATGTCAGTGTAATGAATTAAAACTGCAGTGACTTAGCAAATGGGCGGAATCACCTTATTAAAGTTATAATACATGTAATGATATATGACACCTGTCCAATGTCTACATACGAGCCGTTCTATATTGGTTTTAAAAATAGGTATGATATTCCATTATCGGAGTCCATTCTAATATATAGCTTAGATATTTATTACGTGGATGGTATAAGACCAGTCCAAGTGTTCTGTCGTCATATTATGTACTGATCACGTCTATGTTGTCAGTATCTGCATGATGATTGTATTAATTTGATAGCCGTATTGTAGCTCGAATCACACACACAGCAAATAAAAATTATATTCTAAAGTGAATTTAATGTTCACAATTCCATAATACAATTCAATTATTGGTAATGTATGGGACATTACCGTGGACTTACCCATAACACAAACAAAGAGGGTCAATAATGGTACATTGATTAAAATCCTTTCTAAAAGCAAAGTAACCGAAAATAATACTAATAATAAAACAATTGTTGATCAGGAAGAGAAAAAAAATCAAAAAAGGATATTTCTCTAATACTAAACGCTGAAGATCCGTGATGTGGAGTAAAAAAAAGTTATTTATGAAGGATCTCGTTTAGATGGAAGAAGGTGTTTATGTTTGAAAGGGCCGGGGGGGGGGGGGGGAGAGGATTCAGGAAATAAGCACTCTTTAATATCGTTGTTATTAAAATACATTTTAAAACACAAATGGGACAATCAACAAAATGTATTCCAAGGGTAAAATGGAAAATTTGAATTTCTAATTACATTTCATTTCAACTGCACTATAATGTAAATTGAACAAAGCAATTAAAAATACTGCACACTGTTTTAATTAACCTTGTGTTTGTGCATATACAAGTTTGAAATGTGAAAAACAGTAGGCCGACAGTAATCTGAACACGATTAATGTATGCAATACTGAAAAATAGTCTTCCACAAGAAAGTCTATAATTATAGTTCCATTAACTAGCCATTTTTCTATAGGCTAAACAAATAATTAAGGGACGGATAAAAATGCGTTTCGTTCGTATACATTGTGTTATGCTGGAGCAAAAATAAATGATTCTCTAGACCTCTAAATGATACAAATCGAGTATAGATATTGGCAGTATGTTATGGTTTGTTTTGTTTGTGTGAATAATTATGACCCATTCTGTATAATTACAATTATAGCAATGATAATAATAATAATAATAGTAATAATTATTAATAATGATAAACACTATATGTGTACATCATCATCTGAGACAGCTCTATTGCCACCCCCCCCCCCCCTCTCTCTCTGTCTCTCTGTCTCTCTTCGCTCGGTCCCCTGTCGCTACATCAAAATATTACAAATATCTTGCCATCATTTTTTGGTAACCGTTCCAGGGGCGGATCTAGCCTTTTGCAAAGGGGGGGGGGGGGGGGTGAGACCAAACATGTTTCCAAAAATCGCGCCGTTTTACTGTTTCACTTTTTTTTTCTTTTTCACTTGGCCGCCCAAAAGGGGTTGGGGTGTTTAAACCGCCGAAACAACCCCCCCCCCCCCACCCTCCCAGATCCGCCCCTGCGTTCTTTGATTTGGGTGACGGTCTTGATAATAATGATTGAGCGCAGTGCGATATTTCGAATACCGTTTGCCTCTCCACTGATAACAATTCACAGGATTGCTCTCATTTCTCGATGAGCATCGGGTCATGTTTACAAAAGGTGTCCTTCCACTTTATCAAATGAAGCGAGAAAAGAGTCGTGACCTCACAATGGGTGACCTGAAAATCTATAGCATTTGCAGACAGCAGAGACTAGGGTTGTGTACAAAACATGATATTATTGTTCATTAATAATTCAGTTTGTTCATGAGAGAGAGAGAGAGAGAGAGAGAGAGAGAGGAAAAAAAAACACACAGACATAGAGGGGGGACATGAGCACCCTAAAAAGGTGATTAATGGCAGGATTTTTCGATAGCTGTTTGGCTTCAAGGCCAGGTAAAATTAATTTCTAGTTTCTCGTCCTTTCTTTTTTTTTCGAAAATGAGGAGGAGTTCCAAGGGATTTGATATTTGTCTCTTTTTGGGGGTCAATTTAAACACAAATTTTGTTAACTTCATGTTCCATTTATACAGTCATTTACTACAAAGGCTAAATACAAAAATAAATTGCATTTAATAAATAATTTTGCTGACCCCATTGTCTAGATGTCATCAGATTGTTACTTATTCATTTTCACGATAAAGTTATCAAAGAAAACAGTACTATTATACTAAAAAAAGGTCGAACCGAAAAAAAGGAAAGGGACGGGAAGCTAGTAATTAATTGTATTTGATCGAATGGGTATTCACAAATCAATGTGCAGGTACACCCAAATGTGATCCTATATATCCAAAATCAATATTCAACCCCTTTCCTTTGTTTCTAATATCGCAAAAATATTAATTTGGGGGATTGCCTGCAATATGTTTAGTTCCTATTCACATCTGTGTATCATTATCATTTTTAGGGGGGGGGGGGCATTTGCAGGCCAAAAAATGAAAAGGTTAAATTCCAACGGCATTTGAAAGATAATACTAATTTAGAAATTCCCTGAAAAAGGGGGGGGGGGGGGCTTGAAAATGTCTTTAAGTGGAAAAATAACGACTATTAGTTGTCAAATCGACTTACGAGCTATAGAGCCAGTAAGTAATAGTGTGATTTTCAGACCATAGTACCAAATGGTCGTATACGATATATGCTGCGCAAAGATTCAATCAGTTTAATTTTGGACATTACAATGTAATGCTAATGTACCCTTTACATCTCATTTTATGTATGTTATTCCCAAAGAGAAAAAAAGGCCAGTCAGTCGCTCAATAGTGTCTGACTGTGAAGTCTAGCAAGTAAACGGGTTTCCTTGCATAATTTGAATACTAGGACACTGCTAACGTTTAGATTTCACAGATAGGACATACATTATTATTCATAATTCCTGCAAAGTTCTACAGAATTTGATGTTGGCTGCAAAAGGGACATAGTATCTTTATAAGGTAGTGGAACTCATATTTCACATTTGATGTTGTTTTCACTTAATTTTTCTGTAAAATATAACTGTCCAAGAATTTAATAAATTATTGATTCAATTCAAATGTCATTTGGCCTACTGTCTTTGATCCAGATTGCAATTCGACTTGCCAAACAAATCAAACAATCATCTTTACTTCTGTGGTTGTATGTTTGTTCAAACGTCCCCAAAAGGATGACTGAATAAAACAAGTATGAATTAAAGCAATAAAGGCGTTTTAAAATGATATTGATATCTGAAAGCAACATGCCTCACAGCATGGACCTATATACTAGGTTCATGCTCACAGGCAAAGACTATCAGTCAAAGTGAGTTATTGCGTCCGAAGTATTACTAACACTAACAGTAAGCCTAGTTATGCAATTACATTTTCAATATTATTTCCTCTATTCCACAAAATTCCAACAAATTCCAACAAAATATTACTATTTTTTGTTAGTTGACTGATGAATATCATGTTGTATTTTCTATTTTTTCTTTTCTTTTTTTCCCTCATAACTGCACAACCCTTCAAACTGGGAAATAAAAGTGAACTCAAATTGTTTTCGATTGTTTATTTGCTTTTTAGTGGAGATAATAGCTAATTGCCTATATATATCCACAGATCTACAGCTCTGCCTTCGAATTTCATCAAAAATGTGTGGGCTATAGTTGTCTACGGCTATATACTATGATATGGCTCTGGAAAATCTTTTCAAGTCAGGATGAATATTTTCGTAGAATCTCCTTAACATATTATGCTAAATGATGGCAAAATCCCACTCAAAATATATAGTTATGTAATTGAGTCTTTCCTGAAAAGTCTTTCCTGGTAATGGTATGGCATTTCATAATTTCCAAGTCTTGTCAACATAATAGTTTGCATATGACATCAACGTGAACTTCCCCGCCAAAAAGGAGGGTGATAATATTTTTCCAACAAAGAGATGAAAACGAGACGACTCGGAGAGCCAGTCTCCCAACAAAATGGACGAATGGCGAGTGAGTAATTCACCGCACATTATGTATGCAAATGAGGCAGCTATATGGCTGGTCGCCGCGTACATACGAATACGTGTGTACGTCACCGCACCAAAGTATGGCTACAGCGAATCGCCAATAACGGTACCGACGTATTACACAATGTTACGTAACCCATAATATCGTTCCTTGACCAATTGACCACCAATAAGATTGAAGCAAAGTTACTTGCAGATAAGTTAGCGCGGGAAATTCATGTCGGGCGGCTATGGTTTGGCATTTAGAAAGGGCTAAAATCGACACACCCTTACGTAACTATATGGGTTAAAATATGATTCCCTGTGTGTAGGTATACGTACATGCACAATCATACACACAAAATCCGTTGTGTGTGAATATGATTTCTTACCTCGCGCCGAACAAAGTCTCCCAAACCTGCCAAAGCGATGATTAGTTGAGGATCCCTCTCAATATGTATTTATGGAGAGACAATTTGCAGGAAAAACAGATAATTCCGTAGATTATATCCTGAGGATCGTATAAAAACGATAGATGTGGTAAATCCTTGTTTGACACTCTTTGTAGTAAAGATTGCCTGGTACAGCGTGCGAGCTGTTTAGCCCTTGACACCGTCGACTGAACAACGAGTCTTTTTCCTATTCGATGACCTGAACGTGAACTAGGCTGTATACAAGGACTACGTTGTGGGGGCCTTGAGCTTGACGCGTAGCCAATCGCGGCCATCGTACTAAACGGTCGGGTCTGGCGGTCGTATGTAAGGAGGTAGATCATTGGACATACCAGAGTGATTGCGTAATGTATTTCAGGACAACGATCTGGGGTGACCTAAGGACATGGAGCGTCTCGACGCGACTGTAGGAGCTAACTCGGCTTGTGTTCTGTAATCATACGTAATATACACACAGACTGGGCATATTGTGCCAGTGTGCCTACGTGTACAGTCAATGGTGGCATATTCTTATTACTACATGTATGTACACTCAGTCTCCTCTTGAGTATCGCCCATGGTCGTGGGACGTTTGGACCAGTCATTGGTGATTCAATATTAGAATGAGTAGGCCTATTATGCAATAATGAGTCATTTCTATTAATAATGACTGCACTCATCTGGGCATATCATATTTCTATATGTATTCATTTCACATCATTACCTGATGGAGTAGCTTGTTCAGAATATACAAGGTAAAAATTTACCACAAACTCGAAGAGGAACTCAACTGAAATAAAACGATACTTCATTTACTTTTCTTCATAAAAATAGCTCCGCGTTAACGCATATTACATGTAGGCCTAAATAATGATACACACTTTATACAAGTGACAGAGTCGAATAACTGGCCCAGTGGACCTAATTTTTACACCATAGACCAATACCATCATTATGCACAGAACAGTTCGGGTTTTTTTTTCAAATCAGGGGCTCAATCATAATATATGATGACTTGTATTATTATGATACTAAAATGGAACCTACACTATAGGGTCTACACTATGGTAGACCCTATAGTGTAGGTTCCATTTTAGTGACCACCATCTTTCAAACAATGATGACGAGTCTGCATTTATTATTATTTATGTATGTCAAAAAGAACCTCATGAGAATGCAAGTTGTGTGTCTAAAATCGGTCAACATAGCTGAATATAAAATAGAATGAAAATAAACGTGTAGATCAATGATTAAGATTTCGATATGATTACAAATTTATTTTTTAAGTTCTGTTGTGAATCGCCGTCATAATAGTTCATTATATTTTGATCAAACATGATTGAATTATATTAATCGTTTATGCTGTAAAATGTTGAACGTCAACATCCTGCTTCAAAATGTTGCAGCCCCTTACCCCCCCCCCCCCACTCTCTCTCAAAGCAAAGAACCACAACATGTGACTTTCTCGTAGTAGAACATAAGGCTTATAAAGATTATTTAGACCATATAGGCAAACCTATTTCTGAGAAACGGTGTATTAACATATTGAACTATAGGGCCAATAATTTTTGTTTTGCCCCGAAAATTTGCAAATCGCTCAGTGGGGGGGGGGGGGGGGGGGGGGGGGGGGGGGGGGGGGGGGGGGGGGTAGTGAGCACTAATTTTTTTTCCTCGAAAATTTAAAAATCGTACCCCCCCCCCCTTGAGCACCAGGAGAGGGGGCCCGTCTCCAAAGAAAGGTAACATTACTTGTTTTTACCTGTTTTTTCCCCAGGGGTGGGCCCCCCCCTCCCCTGTATCCGCACAACCCTCCCTTGCATTGCCCCATTTTGACATAAACAGGGGTATACTTTATTTAATTACACAGAGAAAAATATCGTGCCTCCTAGTAAAATCCCTTTCAAATTTTAGACCCAAGGAATTCTGAATTTTTTTTGGTTGACTCCCTGATGAATGATTTTTTTTCCCGGCGGAATTGTTGCCCCATCCCATGAATTGCTGACAATAATAATTGTCCCGAATATTTTCCGCGAACGTCTCATCTTATACGGACTGAAGCCAAAGACTATAATAATCAGGTCAGGTTGGGGTCGAACCGAAGTTTCAAATGACATGCTTGACGTAATATATCCTGCAGTTGAGAACAAGAAATGAAAGTAGTTCAGGGAAGTAGATCACAATTTATTAAAAAGGAAAAAATAAGATGAGAGGAAAATGACCACTTCCCTGGATATGAATTGATTTTCCCGTTGCTTGACTTAAAGGGGTGGATCTTGGTTTTTGTAAAAGGGAAGGGGCACAATGTAAAATTTTGTTTACATTAGTTGGGTGGTGATTTAACACACTCCCACACACATACACAATCTCTGACCAGGCAAGTAAAAAAGAAGGGGGGGGGGGGGTTGGTGAAAGGGGGTGCGATGATTATGTCATCATATTGAAGTGCCTTTTATGGCTCTATCTATCTATGATGTTGTGGTCCAAAATAGTATTGAACAGGGCTACAGGAATGGAGCTAAAGGTTTGACAAATTCGGGCTCTTATTATAATTGCATGCAATACCTTGATATTATTATAATATCATCATCATTTTTTTCTTTACAAAGTCATAATGTTCTTCACCAGACTACTACTATTTCGGTTCATCCCATTTAAGGAGGTTGATCATAGGTGCCATAAAAAATTATGATACCTTCATCGCATTGACCTTATGAATATAATTTTACTAATCATTTATTGTTTTATAATATATACGGGCAGCTTTAAAAAAAAAATCCATCTCCGGCAAGTACTGCAGCTGCGGGCAGGCGCACTCTAAAAGTGGAGTATTTTTCACAACCGCAATCATGCTCTCGACAGATCTGTGTATACGGCCATTGTACGGGCATGGTATGGTATGGACTCAACAACCCGGGTCAGTCTGGTAGCAGGGGATTCGAAATCAGAAAATAGATTGTTGAGGTCAGGGTCATAACACGAGGACAACGGGCATATAAGAAAACCGCAATAAACCCGACCTAAATACACGACCTCTCTCTTTCTCTTTCTGTCTGTCTGTCTCTCACTCTCTCTTTCTCTCTTTCTTTCTCCGAATTCAGTGACTAGTCTAGTTTTCAAACCTGGTTGGTATCGATTAGTGTGTTCGCATGATATAGGGGGGGGGGGGGGGGGGGGGTTGATAAATGAATACCATGACGGAGGTTTATCCAAATTTAATTTTGTAGAGATGATAATGATATGTAAAATTATGTGTATTTATATTATATCACCCCCTTCCTTCTCATTGAGAGAGCCCGGAGAGGATAGGCGGGATTCCCGAAATGAATATGAAAAAAAAAAAAAAAAAATTCGGGAAAAGTTTTGCAACCCCCCCCCCCCCCCCCCCCCCCCCTTTGGCAATCATCGAAACGTTCCTGTGTCCATCTGTATGAACGAATATCCCACTGCTGGAATAATTATGATATTGTGTTCTTGATTAATTTTAATCGGAAAAATAATAGTGAGGGAGGGGGAAGTAAATGAAAATGTTAATTTGAGTTTTTTTTCCGAAATTCCCAATCAGTTTCATCGGAATTTCAAATTGACAATTTGCAGCTCGGTGTATCATGATTTGACCATGAAAACTTAAAACTTAAAAAAGAACATTCTTTTTTACAGTGACCTGTCTAGACCTTGATGAAACCGCAAAACCATTCAACTGCAGTTTGTACGGTTATATTCTTGACGATTAGGGGACTTTGGCTTTGTATAATTCATCATTCAGATTATTTTAATGACCCATGGATTTGGTTACTTTACAGTTTTCATCCGTGTCAAGGGAAATGCGCTCTTTTTGTTGTGCATTATGTAATACCTAGACGCCATTTCTTTACCTTGCCCTGGTGTCTGTTTTGCTCCACCTCGCGAAAAGTGCAATGCTTTGTTCAAATTATTTATTCCCATGGTCATTTGATAACAACGACAAATATTCACTCTCAGTTCAAAACTGTAGGCCTACCCGATAAAGGAAATGCATCTTTATAATTGATGACCACCTTCTGAGGCATAACCTTCGATGCCCCCCCCCCCCTCAAAATCCATTGTTGCACAAAAAAAAAGTAAAATGCGCCACATACATTTATTCTTTAATCCCAGAAGGCACCTGGAAATATATCAACTAATTTCCAATCATTTTTCTGGTTTCTTCTCCCTAGAACTGCATTTGTCTAAGACTCAAAGAAAAGATTTTTTTGTTGTTGTTGAATTTATAGAGGAGTGAATTTTGTAGTAGCAATATTCCTTCGATTGATAGAAAAAAATGTCCCCTCCCCCCCCCCCCCAAAAAAAAAGGTATATAAACAGTAGGCCTATACGAAAATCTAACGGTTCGAAACCAGAAAATGTGTGGAATTTATTCCATTCATACTAAGTTCACCCCTCAAACCTTGAAATCATGATCTAACAGAGTTTATCTTAAACAGCGCCACCGACGGTATTTTTTTTGGTTAATATATTAAAATGAAATATAAAAAAAAGTTCGACTCTCTTGCTGACTTTACTTTAAATTTGTTCTTCTTCATACAATTGTTTGTACTTTCAATTTCTAACTTATTAAACATATAATGTTCTGATTTCTGCTTAGAAATTTCCTAAGGATTTTCATTCAATACCCTTCTAAGAAGTTATTCATATTAACTTATCCACAAAATCCTTTGGTTTCCTCTCTAGATTACATCTTTTAGTCTTTCTCGACATTCTCCATCACTCTTCCTTTCTCTCACTCTGACCTTCTTGTTTGACTTATTGATTCATATTCATTTTTTTAAAATTTAATTTATTATTATATCATTTATATCCATTTATGTGATGTCTGTCATATATTTATTTATGTATCATATCGTTTTTAATTTATCTATTCATCCATTCATTTATTTATCCATTTATCTTTTATGTATTTCTTCATGTATTCTTTAAAAAAAGAAATTATTTATTTGTTTATTCTTTCACTCATTCATTCATTCATTCATTTCTTATTAATCTATCTTTTCATCTATTTATCTATTCATTCGTTTATAAATTGTCTATTTGTTTAATATATCTATTAATTTCTTATATTTTGTAATTGCTGGAATCGTATTCATCACAACTCTAACAACTAATCCGATTGTCAGTATTTTCTTAGTTACAAGTAATAAACTTTACATGTACTTAACAATCTACCATACACGCAGTATGTTCTGGAAGTAATTTATTCATTCATAAAAATGCCATGATACACATCGTACACGACTTATTGCAATACTAGATCATTAATGACAAGAATAATATCACTCAAGTTAGTGGTTCAGTATAATCCTCAAAATCTTTAGGTAACAAACACCATTGCATGATGATAATGTTGTTAATCAAAACTTGCATGAACGGTTTCTTTTTATCACTTATATACGGGTACATATAGTATGTAATGTATGTTACATACACATGTAAACTAACATGTACCCGTATATTAAATTCGTTTTGATATGAAACATAAAAGGCTAAATGAATTGGACAGCTCAAAGGGTCTCAAGCACAGGTTGAATATCTTGTCAGACATATTGAATAATGCCAAGTCTAAACAAAGGACCTGTCTAAACTATTCACTTGCAGTTGAACCATCAAAGAACCATCAAAGAGATGCTATAGTGTCTCATCATTAACTGACAAGAGTACAGTTGAAACATTTTACAAAGCCTTGAATACAACCATCTAAGCTCAGAAATTATTGCTTTCACAACAGAGTTCAATATGACATATGATCAGATCCCTCTTTATATCCACAAAGCAAAACTACTCAAATATTTGTAGGGGGCATTTTTGTTGGAAACAACTTTCGACAGTTTCACACTTCCAGGGTCGCAACCCAACAGAGAACCATCAAAGAACCAAAGAGATGCTGTAGTGTAAATTCAATAGAGCATTGCTATCAGGGCCCCAAAATATCATGTGAAAAAAAATTCTACAGTACATTGAGTTGCCACCCCTCATTATTTTAAGACAAGCTTAATTTACGTATCTTGAACCCGATTTTAATTTGAAGCTTTGTCCGACTATATAATCGGATTTGGGCAGAGCAATTGCAGAAAAAGGAAATAAATACAATGTTTGTATGCGGATCAAAGCCTGTAAAGTACCTCAAAGGCAGCTATTTAGGGCTCATATGCAGAAGTTCAAACTTCAGCTCAATAGCATTTTTTACTCATTGTTAGAGAAGACCGACACAAGTGAGAAAAAAAATATTCTGGCCTCTTTTTAGCTAACACAACAAAGTCTTGGTACACTGAGGAAAGCTGCTTTAACAAATGGTCCTAGCACCAAACCTTGATTCAAAATTAATTCTGAATCATCATACAAAACAAGGACTTTTGAGTCTTGATAGTGATCACACAGCTAAAGCACATCTCACATAATGACGAGCACAATTAGAGAGTATGAGTCGACATCTCTAGACTGATTATCTCATAACATGTCTCCTATACTGGTTTCCATTAAAGATAGGTGAATTGTTCAATTTAATACAGGGATTAATTAATGTCATGTAATTTGTGTCACATTACACTACTCATTCAAACTTCTTGGAATATAGTGTAATTAATAAATTACTAATGCAATTTTTCGAATAAATTTGAAACTACATGTATTCAAATCAGTACAAACATCTTGTCAGGTATGATTGATATTACAAGCGTCATATGATCCATACACACCCTTTATGCCAAGTCTGAGATATAAATATCAAAATGTATCAGTGGTATCAACCCTATTTAGGGCTTGGAGAGCTTAAATTCATGTTCATATGAGAGAGACACTCTGCATGAGGTATACAATTACCCCCAGCCACTTATTGGCATTATTGCCCAAGTGTACCCCTAACGCTTCAACTGCTTGATCTTTCCTTGTCCTTCTGTGCATAGGAAATTTGATCCAACTTTCAACACATTGATACTCTTTCCTTGTGTCCGAACATGCTGTAAAGTCCACTACACTAGATGGTGGATTGTTCATTTCTTCTTGATAACATGTCCACAGTCATACTTTCCCCTGATGACGGTATGTTTGACACCAGGCAAGTCCTGCGTCCTGCCACCTTCCACCAAGACGATGTTGTGTTCCTGGAGGTTATGCCCTTCCCCTGGGATGAAGGCCACCACCTCCCGACCATTGCTTAGCCTCACCTTGGCACACTTCCTGTTGGCAGAGTTAGGCTTTTTGGGCTTGCGGATGAGGGTCTTCAGTACCACCCCCTTCATCTGAGGGCGCTTGTCCATCGCAAAAGTCATATTGGGGTTTGGCTTCCTGCGGAAGGGACCCCGTCTATGAAGCTGATTGATAGTGATACTGCGCACGGACTGAAGTGTGGGCTTGAAGAGGGAGGCCTGTAGTGAGCTGGCCATGGATCCAAAGAAAGAAACTCCTGTAGTATGGTGAAAGATACATGTACAAATGGAATTAACACATGTGGATCTTGTAAGGATACTATTCAATTATTCATATTAGTCCAAACAGTTATGATTATACCAAGGTAAGAAAATCACATCTCATGAAAATTTACTCCTCTAATAACATGAAATATCTGCAGCTTTTGGAAGTAATTCCTTAACTGATTAGGAATTATTTTTTACCTTCAAAATCAAGATCTTTGACAGTTTATTAGCATTTTCTGATATTCTTTCTCTCTTTAAATTCTAAGAGAGAATTTTTGGTGATCATGGTAGTAGGTTTAACCCCTCTCAGGTTAATTGATTCACTTTGTGATATATATTTGTGATTTCTTGTAATTTTCTACTGCTGGTACAGTACTATACTGACTATGTGTTATATAGATTGAACAAACACATTACATATTGCTATTTGACAGTGGCCCATCCAGATACAGAATACTCTCTGTTGTGAAATCTTTTCATGCTTATTTCCCTGAGTTTTGGAGGTACATTACCTTTGACAGCAGAATGGTGATGACACATCCGGCAAGCTGATGACAGAAGGGGTCTCATTCTTGTAAAGATCTCAAACATGATGGAAATCTTTGGTAGAGTCTGTATTAGACCAAAAGAGATTAAAAAAACAAAGAGAACGTTTATGTTTCAAAATATTCATTGTATATAGCAGTGGCAAATCCGGGGGGGGGGGGGGGGGGGGGGGGGGGGGGGGGGGGGGGGGGGGGGGGGGGCACCGAGAACATAGAACACACAACGTGGCAAAAATCATTTTTTGATTTCTGTCTGCTCAGCGAGGAATTGGACCCAAGCGCATGATGAAAGTCATGTCTCATGAGAGAGAGAGTCTGAGATTAGTGAGAGCCAGATGATGATCCGAATACTACATACATGCACTTCGGGTGTCTGAACGAGTTTTCAATTTTCCCTTTGGATTGTTTTTAACCATCATGGTTGGATAATGGAAAAAATCAACTACTCAGAAAAACACATTTCAAATTCCAAGGCTCACCGATGTTTCTATCAAAAGATACAGCCACCCAAAAAATCTAGGCAATATTCTTACAATTTTTGTCCAGAATGGACAAAAAAGTGGTACACGCCCAGTTATAATTTTTGCTCGACAGCTTCACAGCGCGATATGAAAAGCTTGGGGTAATGGTATTTTCAAACTGTAACTGCTCATAATCCGTTGGGACTAGAGAATAAATAAGCGCACTAATATATTCCTTTCAGCTGGCCCAACTTACCCGTCGGGGGCTCAATTCATAAAAAATTGGTAAATCTCCTAGTTACCATGAAACAGGCGCATAGCCAGAGGGGCCGGTGGGGGCGATCGCCCCCCAAAAAAACGCCGGCCAAAAAAAAAAAAAAAAAAAGAGAAAGAAGAAAGGATTAAGAGTCGAGAACGGTACAACGAATCATTTCTTTCTCTAATAATTTAATGAAACGTCAAAGCTTTCGCGCTTCGCGCGGAAGGAGCGGGGGGAAACTGAATTCAGATAAGGATTAAGAGTCGAGAATGGTACAACGAATCGTCTTCTTTCTCTAATAATTTAATGAAACGTCAAAGCTTTCGTGCTACTGTATGCGCGGGAGGAGTGGGGGGAAACTGAATTCAGATAAGGATTAAGAGTCGAGAATGGTACAATGAATCGTCTTCTTTCTCAAATAATTTGATGAAACGTCAAAGCTTCTGCGCAGGGGGGCAAGCTGAATTCAGATAATGATTAAGAGTCGAGAATGGTACAAAGAATCGTCTTCTTTCTTTATTAATTTAATGAAACGTCAGTTACTTCCGCGCTATGCGCGGAGGAAGGGAACTTGATTCAAACAAGGATTAAGATTCGAGAGCGGTACAACGAATCGTTTTTTAATAATTCAATGAACGTCAATAGAAACTGAATTTAGACAAGGATTAAGAGTCAAGAACGGTACAACGAATCGCCTTCTTTCTCTAGTAATCTAATGAAACGTCAAAGCTTTCGCGCTTCACCCCCCCTCCCTGCTACGCACTTGCCATGAAAACAATGTTTAAGCTCACGCACGCCAGCTATACTCCACTCCTGACGACGGATAGTCAACCTTATTCGAAACGTCGAGCCAGTCCTGCCACTCGTCATCTCCAAGCGCTATAGTTCTCCTTAGAACTATAAGGTAAGAAAGATTACCAACAGGCAACAGTCTTTTTTAAGACTACACAAAACAGTCCTTTTCAGGACTACACAATACACATCCTCTCTCTCTCTCTAACATGGTGCACCCGCAAGCCTACTGTATAAATGTTTATATCGCCGTTTTGATCAAGATATTTGTAGAGTTCAGCGTTGAGCCCCTGGAGAAAAAAAGCTGCTCTTTCATATGACACCTCACTTAATGAGTATCCCTTCAAGATCATGTGAGCAGTATTGGTATTGGTCAAACCATGTCATTGACCAATTTGCATGAGCGCCCAATGCAAATGGACTGCATAGGGTTGTGTGCAATCTTTATGGGAAGGATTTTAGCACACAAAACCGGGCCGAGTGCACGATCAGACACCTACATCATGTACATCATGGCTAAAAATTGCTAGTTAGTGTAGTGCTATGAACAAATCCAAAGTCACAAGCAAAAGAGACGCTTTCATATTTTTAAATTAACTTACGCGTGCGGCACACAACCGCGACATATCCTGATATATTACAACGAATCCCGGACAACTCGCCACAAAGACAACCCGCCCCAAGACAACCCGCCACAATACCCTGGACATCCCGCCACAATACCTGGACAACCCGCCACAATACCCTGGACAACTCGCCACAGCCTTTTCGGACAACTCGCCACACTTTTTCCCCTCATGATTTCTAGATCTAAAATCCCTCATCTTAGATGAAATTGTCATTTTTCATGATTTTCGTGCTTTTATAAACACAGTTATGACAGGAAACATGGAAATTGTGAGTATTTTGAGAGCTGTTCTAAAGAATAAAGATGATTTTCCTTGCGCTTGCAACAAGAATCTATTTTGGACGAACCCAAGCCAGGCGTACTACGACTACGAGTTACGACTACGATTTTTAAGTTCATGTCTCAGGAAACTTTTCATGGTAGGAATATGCTGCTATGTATCTTTGGCGTATCTTTACATTCTAATATTACCTCCCCCCCCCCACCCCCCCCCCCCATCAGTACGCCAGTGCTTCCAGTATCCTACCATAAAAAAATTCTGGGACAGAAAAATGCAGCTGTTATAGACCTCTAGATCAAAAGTATATTATTGTTACAAGGGAAATCAACCTTATTCTTTTTAATGACTGTTTATAAAAGCACGAAAATCATGAAAAATGACAATTTCATTTCAATATATATTATTATTACATTAGGGAAATCAACTTTATTCTTTATTCTTTGTAATGACTGTGTTTATAAAAGCACGAAAATCATGAAAAATGACAATTTCATTTCATTTTAGATCTAGAAATCATGATGGGAAAAAGTGTGTGCGCGATTGTCCGAAAAGGCTGTGGCGTTGTCCAGGGTATTGTGGCGGATTGTCCAGGGTATTGTGGCGGGATGTCCAGGGTATTGTGGCGGTTGTCTTGGGGCGGGTTGTCTTGGGGCGGGTTGTCTTTGTGGCGAGTTGTCTGGACCCCATTACAACCCATGAATTGTTGGCCGCGCCGTGGGCTTCAGGCCTCGTCTCTGATGACGGGACCTGCGCTGGCAGAGGCCGGGCAGAGCACCGAGAGGGTTATTACCATACCGTCCCGCTGCGTAGAGAGCATGCCAACTCGTCTATAATTTTGTATAAAGACTAGAATCTACCGGTATATCGGCTATGCCTAAACGGGAGAAATCACCTCACAATCAACAACCACCTCATTTATTCCATAAAACCGTTTTTATTTCGAATAGACTGGAATGAAACGAAAATATATTTACCTTTTTCAACAAAAAGAGAAATCGGTGATCACAGCATTTAAGGTTGCGCTTGCATGTGGCTGAACGATAGATGGCAGTATACCATTTCGGATCTCGACTGAGCATAATCAGAATGCATCACTTGGATAGTTGGAAGTATAGGCATCTATTGCCTCTCGTTGACATTAGGATGAAGAATCCATATTGGGACCAGGGGCGGCGATTTCTTTTCATGACCGGGGGGACGAAATGACAAAAACTTTTTTTTTTTGGGGGGGGGGGGGGGGGGAGTGCCCCAATCTCGAGTGAGTGAGCAAAGTGAATGAGAGGGGTGAAGGTGACGAAAGTGACTACCCACGCACAGGTTTTGAAGTTCTGTTGTATTACAAAATTATATTCCTTAGCAAAACTATAGTATGAAAACAAACAATGTACTTTTTTCACACTTCACTTTTCTTTTCACTTGTACATTTTGAAGGATATTATGCGAAGGAGCATAAGATTTTCGCATTTTATTTGTCTAAAACGCTGCACTTTTGGGCCCTCCAAACCCTAAAAGTGTGTTGCAGTCTATAGTCAGTATTTGCTGTACATTATTTGTTTGCAATTTTTCAAATTTTCCGGGAGGGGGGGGGGGGGGGGGACGATGATCCCCTACAAAAATCGAGGGGGGACGTTTCCCCCCCCCCCCCCCCCCCCCCCCCCCCCCCCCCCCCCCCCCCCACCCCCCCCCCCCCCCCCCCCCCCCCCCCCCCCCCCCCCCCCCCCCCCCCCCCCCCCCCCCCCCCCACCCGCCCCCCCCCCCCCCCCCCCCCCCCCCCCCCCCCCCTCCCCCCCCCCCCCCCCCCCCCCCTGGGATCGCCGCCCTGATTGGGAATCAAAGTTTAGTTGCGCTGTTGACGAACATGGACAAACGAAGGACTCTTCTGGGTCAGATTGATCTTTTCTTGACGACCAAAATTTCAACAAATTGGATTTAAAGCTATGATCTCCCTTGTTCCATTCATTGATACATCTCTGAGAAAAGGAGCCACGTCTAAGCTTTGAGTGGACTTGCTTCTTAGCGATCTTGTTAGCGATAGCCACGGGTTCTACTATCTGTTGGCTGGTCAAAGAAGTGTGCATGCTGGATACAGTTCATCTAGGCCATGCATTAATAAAACAAGTCAAATAAAACAGTGGGGAGGGGCTGCAGCCCGACCCTCCTAGTTCCGCGACCGTTCTATATTATCTGGGCCATACACATATTGTTATCGACCTTGAGAAAAAGGGAGAAAGGGAGAAAAAAGGAGGGGGAAAGAAAAAGGAGATGAAAAGAAAGAAAAGGGAGAGAGAAAGAAGAAGAAAAGAGGGAGGAGGAAAAGGGGGAGGAGAAAGGGAGGGGGAAGGAAGAAAGGGGAAGAGAGAGGAGAGAAAAAGGCGGAAAAGGAAGAAAGGTGGAAGACGGGGAAGCGAAAGGGGAATAATGAGAAGGGAAAAGAAAGAAAGTGGGATGATATTATAAGAAGGTGATTTTTTTATCGGGAAAGGGGCGGGGAAGGGGGCACGCACTTTTGCAGTTTGCATAATATGGGGTCCCTCTTGCTAGGCGTGTTGCCCCTCCCCCCCCCCCCAAAAAAAGGAACAAGAAGAACAACAAAAGAAGAGATGGGAAAAGGGGGAAGGAGAATTTAACAACGAGAGCATGAGGAATTGCATTTATTTTAAAAGAATAATGGGATAACAACCAGGGGGTCGCTAAGGGGGGGGGGGGGGTGGGTGGATGGGGATGCGACGCCCCCACCTGTCAGGATATTGTCGGTAAAATTGCGCTGCTGTCGGGAAAATGAAAAAAAGGGGAAAGGGAAAATGAGTGGGAAAGGGAGAGAAAAGAAAGGAAAAAAGGGAAAAGAAAGGAAAGAAAGGAAAGAGAAGGAAGAAAGAATGAGAAAAAAGAAAAAGAGGAAGGAGAGGAAAGAAAGGAAAAGAAAAAAGAAAGAAAGAAAAGGAACAAAAGAAGAGAAAAAGGAAACAAAAGAAACGGGAGATGAACGAGAGAGAGGGTAAGAGCCTGAGAGAAGAAGGGTGGGAGTAAGAGAGAGAGGGGGATATTGGGTGGAGTCACCACGTCGAGGGGGCAAGAAAAATACGCATAGATAATTATGTTGCTGTGTTGGGTCCGCTGTGTCGGGTAAACTGAATTCAGACATTTAGGATTAAGAGTCAAAAGCGGTACAACGAATCGTCTTCTTTCTGTAATGATTTAATGAAACGTCATAGCTTCTGCGCTTCGCGCGGGAGGGGCGAAAGAAGAATTAAGAGTCGGGAACGGGACAACGAATCGTCTTCTTTCTCTAATAATTTAATGAAGTGTCAAAGCTTCCGCGCTTTGCGCGGGAGGGGAAACACTGAAAAATAACTTAGTTCCTGGCCCAGGCCCATTTTTTCCTATTTGCAAAATTATGAAATTTGGTTGACATGGTTATCGTTATATCATGTATTCATTACATCCATTTTCAGCTATATCTTTTAAACAACCTAAGTGTATTAGTTAAAGAGCAATTGTTAATATGTATATAACAATATTTATTTTGGTATCCCGTGCGTTAAGCTTTATTTAGATTATTAAATGAACGTTTTAAAAATTGTATTTAATTTGAAAAATCCATTTACCTATTTCTTGTAAATGATCAAGGATGATTCTTGAATGATCAGTTATTTCAAGGGGATACCAATTAATTTGTATTTTACCTGTTTATATGCTTGTGTATTTATCTATTTTGTTTTTGATGCTGTTATTTTTTTTATTATTACCAAACAGGGCCTCATTGAAGACCACCAAATTGGTGATATGTGCCACCCTGTATAAATATCAGAAATAAATTTAAAAAAATAAAACAAAAAATTTGTCGGTAATTGGTGGCTAGTTTTGTCGGTAATCGGTGGTTTATACACCCCCCCCCCCGCCACTGAAAAAGGTCTAACGACGCCCCTGATAACAACACAGTTTATATATATACACTAGATAACATTTTCGCAAGTACTGGTGAAGTACCAGACCACCGTCTATATTGTGCATGCAGCAACGCAGCATATACAACGTCTCGCGACGTGACAGATCACTTTTCTCTATCTTCTAACCTATCAGAAGGCCTTGTTTTTTTCCCCAGGAAGTGCCGGTGGACATTGGGGAGGTGGACATTAATGCGCAAAATGTGGTTCTCAAAATTAATGATGCGCCTGAAAATGCGCCTAATGTGGTTCTAAAATTGCAAATGCTTCCTACTCAGGGAGGGGGTTCTGATCCCCTCCCAGACCCACCCCCGCTTAGTCACTCCGTTCCATCGTTTTCCATATATTCAACCCCCATGCAATTTTGTGCCCCCCCCCCCGATAAGAAACTCCTGGATCCGCCACTGGACGTAATTGTTATGATACAGATTTTGAAATCCCTATATATATGGTCTACTCTTAATTTTGCATTCCTTCATGAAATTGTATTTTCAGTTATCATCATCTCCCCCAGAACACACACGCACACATACACATGACAAGTGGAAAAAACGGTGGGAGAAAGATAGGAAGGCAAGTCCAACGGTATGCACCGGCCAGACATTTAAGTAGGCATATTATTATAATGCACTGTCCAATCCAAGTAGGCCTATCATGGAATTATATGAACACAAACCGAAGTAAAGATCAGTTTTATCTGATGTTTTGGCTTCGGATTCAACCTCTAGTAAAAAAGGAAAAAAATATTTGATGGGGGGGGGGGGGGAAAGAGAATGAATGAGGAGTGACGATGAGAGCCTCGGTGAGGCGAAGGAAGTCCTTTTCAGACAAAAATGATGGGGGGGGGGGGTGGAGCGAGAGTCAGTGTTGTTAATATGTTTTCTTCTTTCGGTCATTGAATGAAGGTGGGGTATGGGTTTTAAAAAATAATATAGAATGGAAACACACTACCCGACCCCCCCCCCCACACACACACACAGGGGCGTAGACAACGGGGGGGATGAGGGGGATGCATCCCCCCCACCTCACAAGGTGGGGGGGATGGCATGTACAATCATCCCCCCCAGGTTTTGGGGAATGATATTTGCTTACTTAATAAGTCATAATGATGATAATAATAGTAATAATAATAATGAAAACAATTATAATATTAATAATAATAATAATTATGATGATGATAATAATAATCCTCATCATTATTGTAATTGTGTTTATTGTTATTAGCCGCATTCACACGGTGAAAGCCAATTCAGACGGTAAAAAAAAGAAAATCTTACAAGTATTTTGTGGTTATCTTGTGGTTTGGAAACCACAAGATAACCACAAGATTAAACAGGCGCGGATCTACGGAGGGGGGGGGGGGGGGGGGTTAGGGGGTTTAAACCCCCCCTTGGGCGGACCAAAAAACAAACAAAAAAAAAAAGAAGAAAAAAAAAAGAAAAAAAAAGAAAAAAAAGAACGCACGCTGGAGAGAAACCCTTTCAAGTGCAAATATTGTGAGAAGATATTCAACTCATCTGGTAACTTAACCAAACACATGATAACTCTGGATATAACTGTGTATTTAACTGTTACTTGATTTAAAAAGACGTTATCATGCACTGCTTTTTATGGTCTCCATTGTGTTAATAAATGCCAGGAAAACATCACTTACGGGGTTCAAATAAACACCCCAAAAAAAATCGGCTCGCCGCTTCGCGGCTCGTGGACTGCATCGTCATTATTTTGGTCAACCCCCCCCCCCTTAGCAAAAAGCTAGATCCGCCCCTGAGTCATCCCCCCCAGGTGTACGAACCTGTCTACGCCACTGCACACACACAACTCTACACTCTCTATATAGCGGCCCGCCCCATGAGCTCCTAATTCGATGTTCTTCTACTTTTAGAAAGTACCGCCATCCTTTTCCTCACGAGTGCCCCACGGTCGTGGGATTAGTAGGGATACCATCCCATTATGATTATTACCATTATTTAATCCATTATATCGCCAACGTCGCCATATTTTTCCCATTTGTACCATAATCATCTTGACCATATTCTAGTTCATTTATCCATGATTCACTCATGCATGCATTCATTTATATCATTCATTCATCCCGATCCCCCGTAAGTGAGACGCAGCGAGAGAGACGAGCGGAACTTTGACCTCACTGCACTACACTTGTGCACCATGACAACGTGAAGCCGCGTTCATGCTTTGTTTACAATACCGGGCACAGCTAGTGTTGTATAATATTGGTGAATGTCCGATCAGAGATATTGTGTTATCCTGTGTTACATTTGTTTATATCTCGCATAAATCATGGCAGAAAAGAAGCAGAACGGGACAAGTTACCAAAGGTATTATTACATTTCATGTTTGATAGTGAAAACGTAGGGCTAAATACAAGTACAACCCCAACCGGCCACGGCCACGGACTTTGGAAGTTGGAGGTCGCTCCAACAGCCGGCAGCCACAGGGCTCCGGGAGTTTCCCGTGCACGGCCATGTCCGTGTTCGGTGACTTGGGTCGTTAATCTTACTCTCAGTCTCAGTGTAGAGTCTATGCCTTTGTCTTTTAAGACCTAGACTATGTTAGATAATATAATGAAGGATGGATATCTATGACAGTTAGTTTGGAGCTACTTCAGAAGTGTATCAGTTTTTCTTTTACTTAAAGGTAAAGACCAGTTATGGTCATGCGTTTGCATTGTGAAAGAAACGTTGTGGAATTGATCAGAAAAGGTTGATCATCTAGCATCTAGCATCTGCAAGGTTCTGGAATCATCAAAATGATAAGAAATTTGGCACATTCTTTGTAAAGTTACAAGCACTAACTTATACACAGAAAGATGTATATGGGACTACCCTATATCTCTCACAGACCATGAGAGAAACAAATTTACCAAATATATGAATTAGTAGGCGGTTTCCCGGCAAATTTTTTATCATCATGTATTAGTCAAAACATATTCTTTCACATGATTGGTAATGAGAGCTTCCATTTCATTTTTTGAAATTGGGGCGTTTCCAATACTGGTCTTTACCTTTAATGCATAGATCTAGACCTAGATCTATCTAGATCTAGATCGATCCAGACTACTCTTTCGTTTAAATCCAATGGCAAAAGTTACAACTCTATTTTTGTTATGCACTCCAGGAGGCAGGACATATATTAGATTGTCGTAGTCGAAGTAAATATACACATCTTTCGTTTGTTGATTTTCGAAGGTGTTACCTATTAAACTGGTTTGTGCATAGACTAGGTCTAGATCTAATTCTAGAGATTTTTTTTATATTTCTTGTTGTTCTTATCCAAAAGTATAGTCTAGATCTCGTCCTAGACTCTATACTAAAGATTTATACAATATACTGCTACTATGCTAGTCTATATGGCCATATATTTTGTAGCTAGACTTGGTTTTGCAGGGCTAGGGAAATGTGAGATTTCTCTTATTTCTAATTAATATATTATTAGGGTGTCTGAACGATTTTTCAATTTTCAATTTTGGATCGTTTTTCACCATTTTTGTTTTATATTTGAATTGAAAAATATAATCAGAATAATACATTTCAAATTTCAAGACTCACCGATGTTTCTATCAAAAGATACAGCCCCTCAAAAACTCATAGCATTTTGGTCAGAATGGACAAAAAAGTGGTTCATGCCGAGTTATCATTTTTTGCTCAACAGCTGCATTCTAATGCATTAATTAGGCCTAGAATCTATATGCAAAAAGTGGGGGAAGGGTATTTTCAAACTTAAATCGTACATCATCTACATGATCCCTAGGGGCTAGCAAAAAAAAAGAAAATCAACATATTCCTTAATACTTGAACTAATTATCCCTCGGGGGGTCGATTCTCAAAAGTTGGAAATCTCCCGAGTTGCCATGGAAACACATTTAAATCACTGTTTGACCAAGATATTTTTAGAAATTTGAAATGACCCCCCCTTTAGAAATATGGGAATTAATCTGCCCTTTCATATGACATCTCATTTATTGAGTATCACCTTCAGGATTACAACAGATTAAGGTTTGAATCTCAATTTATTTTTAAAAACTTGACCAATTTTGCAATGCAATAGACTCAATAGGGATGTGTGCAATGTCTATGGGAAGGGTTTTAGCACACAAAACCTGGTGCGCGATCAGACACCCTATTAATATTAGCAAAATAGATAACTGAATATTATTCCTGAAAAACGCGAATTAATTAAGGAAAACTTGAAAAAATGGTAACACCAATATGGTTACAGAATTGTGAATCTTCGGAACTGCAAACCCCTTAGAAGAATAAACCACCTCTGGAATAACAAGTGATAACTTGTAATTTTAATACGGATAATGGGTGGAGTGCAATATTGAGTAATGATTATAGAAACTGACGCACATTTTTTGGACTCAAGTGGAGAAAGTCATATGCAAAGTACAAAATGACGAGATTTTTATGTTTGCTGTCCTTCTCTGTATTCCTGTTATTTTATCCAGCATACCAAGATTTTCAAAGTTGCATCCTGTAATTCCAAGAAGATACGTACCAGAGTGGAAGAATGATATGAAGAACAGAGAGTTACTTGTTAAGGTAAGTGAAATATGGCAGCAAAATCTCTAGATTTACCAATAAAAAACACAAATTCTTATTTAACATTAACATCCTATACTACTTTAAAAACAGATGAGGGGGTCATATTAATTTGATGGCTATGATTAGTGAAGCTTAATTGGCAGTATTAGTGTTGCCCCAAAACAGGCATTCATATTTTTTTAGAAAATGTGTTTGCTAACTGTCATTAGTATGAGAGTTGGTCTATGTCAACTCTAAAGCAGTGTATTGTAAAGTAAAAAATAATTGTTTAATTCTTTATCTGTCTTCAAATTTCATGTCTGTAATATATTTTTATGAACACATTTAACTAAATGCAGTACTTTGCCTATTGCGTTGTCTTACCCCCTTGAAACAGTGTTTCTACATTGTTTTTCAAACATGAATGAAATGAACCGGACCACCTTACCCCCTGACCCTAAAGCAAATAGGACTTTTATTGTCTCTGTTCCATGTTGGTTTTCACTGTTTTTTTTATTTATTTATTTATTAAGTTTTATTTCAGTAGGGTGGTTCCATTCAGTTAATTTATTGTAGATCCATATGTAGTGAATGTAATTCACAACTATTTATCCACTTTATTATACAGAACTGTGAAATGAGTGGCATCATTCCAAAAGGACCTCATGACGAGAGTCTCTTCCTGGACAAGCGAGAACGCATGAACGAAGTAGAACCAAGAGTAAGGGTGGAGGCAAAACATCCAAACTTTGAACGCTACGACGGTCTTAGGCCAGAGTTTCATACCGCTCAGTCCAAGTACCAGAGCAGTCTCATGTTCCGCAAGGACAACACAGTGGGACAGGACTTTCAATGATAAACATTTTTAACCTTGGAAGGACATTTGCACAATGTATAGCAACTTTAACTATCATCACAAGGAGGCTCCATTTGGACACGCTTGCTTTAGTTTGGTCATTTTTCCATATAAATTTGTAGTTATGACATAGAATGGCCAGTAGTCCATGTATATATTTTGTAAGAACCTTAAGAATCTATAGTGAATATGATAAAGATCGTCATCTTTATAAAGTTTTAGCATACATGTACTTGAATTAAGCCTTAACTTCTATGTACATACACCTTTACGATGTTGTTGTTGGGGTTTTTTTTTTGTCCTGGTAAAAACAATATTTATGATATTATGCAACTCTTTCTTTTTGTCTAATTACACATTGAAGTGGACAATGAAAGCCATGTCTTGTAGCATTTAAATGTCATTGAAACACAAAAGAGATGATTTTAATGAATTATTCCTACCCAACACGCACCAAATCATTGAAGTACACAAATGATGGTGGCAATTGTAGACTGGTCCTACAATTAACCCACGTTTCTTTCTTGAGGAAGACAAAATATCTTGCCTTTACTGTACATGTATATATATAGAGAGAGAGAGAGGTGACCGCTAAGACAGGTTTGACTGTATCTCTATATTTCTTGCTCTTATGGGGACTTTATAGCTAAAATCCGTTATGAACAGTTTCTGTGAGGAAGTAAACTCAAATAAATAGAGAGGGTACATGCATATGGCAATGAATTAAGATTATATTGTAAGAAATGCTGATCAACTTAACATGTTATATGTATACAGTAGGCTTGCGAGTGCACCATGTGAGAGAGAGGGAGGATTGAGGAGTCCTGAAAAGGACTCTCTGTAATCTTTCTTGAGGGTTTGTAGTCCTGAAAAGGACTGTTTGGTATAGTCTTGAAAAAGACTGTTGGTTTTCTTTCTTAGCTTATATCTAAGGAGAACTATAGCGCTTGGAGAGGATGAGTGGCTCGACGTTTTGAACAGGTCGACTATCCGTCGTCAGGAGACTGTTATATGTAGTTTTTTATCCTTTGTACCAGGTACTAATAGACCAGTTCACGGTTAGCACCTTACTGCAATGACCCCGAGTATCCACAGAACTTTAAAACATGAAGAGGTCCCAAATTGTACATTTTGAAAAAATCACTCCTACAGTGATGGATGTGCTATATAAATAGCCTTTGTTCCCCCTTTTCAAAGAATACCTCCACCTGTGTACCATGGATTGCACTGAGAGCACGTATCCAGTATTTCGTCTCCGTGTGTTTCAAAATTTGTTCTGCAATGACCTTTATCTGCTCATGCTCAGACTGCAACCGTGAACTGGCTTGTGAGGTACTAAAAACCCTAATCTAGGATAATTCATGGCTAAATGAACCGAACTCATTGAAAATTAAATTCTACACTGTATGTGAAGTAATAAGAAAAATTCATACATCAAACCTATCAACCTCCAAACCAAGGCCTTGTTTATAATAATAATATTCGGTCCTGGAATAGCGCATATGACATTTAAACGTCTCTATGCACTTCCAAATTTGGAAATGATTACCCCGGCTTTAGCCTAGCTGCCATTACGAGGCTCTAGCATTTCAAGGAATTAATTTCTGCCAGGTACCCATTCACCTCACCTGGGTCGAGATAAATTAAATTGTTTAACTGATTATGATATTTGTATATTAGATCATGACTGACATATGCACAATCTATTGTAATTATATTATATGCATAAATAATAACGGAAAAGGACTAAATCATGTGTGTTTTTATATTTTGTATTGTTTCTTTATTATTAGTAGGGCCTACAATCTTTCTATTATAACGCATACTTATCTAAAGTCTATGGCCCGAATTCACAAAGGAGGTTTAAATTTAACCCATGGTTTAAACCCTCATTTCCATAACCCATGATTTTGCGCTTGTTTTAAACCATGGGTTATGTAAATGAGGGTTTAAACCATGGGTTAAATGTAAACCTCCTTTGTGAATTCAGGCCTATGACATTACACATCAGCCCAGAATGAAATGGCAAGATTTCTTTTGAAAAACAAATTGGGTAAAATATTTCTATGAGAAGGTGAAAGATAGAATGCCCAGTTCCACTTTAATGATATTTCTGTGTAAAGGTATTATTTACCAATTTTCTTCTCTAAAGTTTGCAAACCTCTATATAATGTAAAGAGTTATATATAAGGTATGACAAATTAACATAATAATGATATTGCTTGAAATTTTAATATTTGGAATAACAATATATAAAGTGTAACTTTGAAGAAGAAAATTTGTAAATAATACCTTTAATAAAAGGGATAATAATATATGGTGGGAATGGTCGATGTGAAAGAATTCAGTGGGAAGAGAACCAGGAAGAGCCAAGTAATGATATAACGGTCTTTTACATGCATCCTCAACATCAAGACTCTGCACAGTTGAAATTGAAGTCATTCATACCTTATTTTATATTTATTCTATTTACAGGAAGTATCAACAAATCTACACAAATCTTCAATTCTGAGATTAGATAACATATCTTTTCAAAGAAAGTGTAAACAAATAAATGAAAAACAATCTGAAAAGTTGTGAAATGTGGATCAACAGAATGAACATGGATGGAATTTAAAATAAAAACTTATCTTATGTGCTTCTGTTTAAGGTGGTGTTTGTGTGGCAGGGGATTTAGCCTTCTACCCAACAAACATACAGAAGGTTTATACTTCCAAAACAATATCAGGACATGGTTTCAGAAAGCTGTTTAGTATTTTGAAAACTTTTTTTCCCCCTGTCTTTATTACCAGAACAATCATTTTCAAATAGATAGCAGGGGCAATTCAACCATTTACTGTTGATAAAACTATTCCTCTTTCTTACAGAACTATGATAAGCTCTGTTTACACTATCAAAATAATCACATGTGATAAATGGAAGTCCTTTAAAAAAAAAAATGTGAATAACAAAGACTGTCAAGTCCCATGATTTGCATATTCTTCTTTCTTTTTTTAAATTTTTATAGTTATTCTGCCAGACTATATAATGCATATGCATTCTCTTTGTTATCATTAACAGATTAATATCTATTCATCAGTGAAACTTTGAAATACAGCAGGTACAAATTAAAATGTATTTTGTAAGCAGTCAAAGCCATAATTGTATTTACAAATAAGCAACTTTACATGTACAAAATAATATACAAGCAATTAATTAAAATCATAAAAGTAAACAATTAACAAAAATGTTTTGTATATTAGCTCAATGACTAATTAGGATGCATAGTATTGACAAAACATAGCTGAGCTATAAATGTCAAAAACAAAATGCTAGGACGTAAGGGCAAAACAAAATATATACACAAAAAGGCCGACAAATGAGGACAAATCTTAAACTGCTTGGCTTTATGGGTGACTTAATGGGTGACGGCTGAAGCAAATACAATTCCTTCATTCACCAGATGACAATCACTGTTACATGTTTACCCAATGAATGTCACTGTTATATCCCAAATTTAAATATATGTATATTAGGAGGAAAACTATGGAAACATCTCTGATCAAATCTACAATGGCATTACTACATAATACAACTTTATATCACACAGAAACATAGTATGTTCCTACAAACATTCAACGTGGTATTTGTGTAATGTACACAAATGTATTCATGCTTCACCATGGCATTTTTTTTAAATCCGAAATTCTCCAGTTCCAGGTTAAGTTTCTTTCCTTTTTCCCCCAAAGAGAATATAATATTAAAGAATTAAAGTTAGTAAGTCATGAGCACAACACAACAATAATTTAAGTCATCTCTCTCCCATGATCAACAAAAAAGTCTAAAATATCAACATTTTACAGTTTGGAGTAATAGAGTGCACAGTGGATACCAAAATATCAGAATTCTGATTCTTAATTTGCAAATGGCAAACTAGGTTTTTACCAATCTACGATTTATCATATGTATCTCTACATTTAATATCAAATTAATTTCTTATCAAAAGCTAATCAAATGTGTACACCTAATAATAGTAATCATGAATGCCATTTATTTACATAATGCCAAACCTATACATTTATTTACACAGAGATAGATATGATTTTCATATGTTTCATTATCTACATTGGTTATCGATAGAGTACTCTATTCATTCATCTAGTACATAGGTAATGTTTTTTTTTTACATTCACGCCACAAAATACAAAAAGTTAAATACAGTGCAATGTCGGTTCTAATTGACGACATACAATCCCCGGATAAAATCATTAATAGCAGGGTACTTATTGTTTGATTTTTCTTTTTATTCAAACAACATTTATATAGAACCACTACTCTAGCAATGCTGGTTCTTAGCTAAAGTACCTAAATACAGACCCCGATATGGACTTTCACAATGAGTGCATATGAAGGAGCTGTTCAATAGCTTTGGTGATTCTTGTGACGTAACTCCATCCGGGTTGCACTGTGTCAATGGTAGCATTGATGGACTCCTCACTGAAGAATAAAATGAGAGAGAGATATCCTCTTTGACATTGGCAGCCTTTTAATTTTTTTAAATTAATGGTGAGCATCTGCTTTATAGTGATGTAACAGATTCAGAGAGTCTTGACGCAGCATATTGTCATCTCAAATGTACAGTTAGGGGGGGGGGGGTATTCTAATTTTATACAACTTTAAAAATGCCATAAATCATCTTACAAAGATTCTCAAAAATATATGATTTATACTAATCACAAGTGAAGAAGAAGTTATTGTTAAGTATGCATACTGCTTATTTCATCTTAATATGCCATACAGGCATTTTGAGAGGTGGTTTTAGTACTGCCTTACATATATGTGGGAATAAGCCCCTATGTGTAAATCAGCATCAAAAAGATATTTTCTGAATTAAAAGTTATGCATTTGGATGAGCACACATACTTAAGAGACTTAAACAACAATGCTTCTTTCATCCTGAATTTTAAGCTGTCTGTTAGACAACATCAAGCCAAAAACTAATGGGCTATCGCGGTAACGGTGACCCGATCTATTACTAAAATCTGTGATTTTTGCCATGAGAGCAATTTAACGCAAGGAAGGTTTTCATAGTTCAACACTGCAACCACAGTTATTTGGTCAAACTGGTGTGTTCTAATAGTTCTTACCTGATTTTGCCAATCTTGATAACACAGCTGTGTGGAATGGCTGTCAATGGATACTGGCCTGGTACAACGTCCAGGTGGATGCAGAACATAGAATGGGCTTCAATGCTGGAAAACTCAATGGATAGTCTAGGAAAACAAGATGGATCAATAAAGACAGCTCTTGTTATTAATGTCTGTACCTACCGTATACTAGACGGCATCATCACCTAACAATTCACAGATTCACATACCTGACACATCAATGCAGTAAGGTAATCAACAGATTAAAAGATTGACAGACCTGATCTACCCAAGCCATGGGGCCAGTATTTATGCAACATTCTGTTTCTTTCGCAATATTCTATTTAAAAGCACATTTCCTGAAAATGTAAAACCTCATTATTCTTTTGTTTGATTGGAAATAAAACTTCTCTGAGATCCCACAGATAAGTATGTACACAACTATCTGTTAGGGAGACGATTAGCTACTTTAAGGACGAAACATAATGTGCTCTATTTCAAATACTTGATCTCAAAATGATACATTTAGCTGTTACTGCTCTTAGAACCCTTGATTACTCTTACATGAAAGTGATGGAGTATACAAACATTTCAGTGTTGTTTTTACATTGCAGTCGAAACAGAAAGTCAATAGTGATTAATATTTCTTATAGGTTAAATATATACTGTAAGCAGAGTTGCATCAACGTGAATAGACACAGGCAGACAAATCTAACGTAGTCTTACCTGTTATGTGCTGTAGTAACTGGATGCCAGAAATCTATTCTACTGACCTCGGCCTCTAGCAACCTGGCCTGACCAGCCAACTCTGAAAGATGCTGCATCATCTGGAAAAGGTAAAATAGAAGTGATGTAAAGAACACCAGAGTCTTGCAATGCTAGTTTGGAACTTTAATATTGGTCACAAATCAATGTGTTATCGGCATATTCTTCTTTTTTTCCTCCTTTTTTTTGGTGGGAGGGGATTGCTATGATGCAAAATCTACCCAAAAAGTCTTATGAACAACAATTTACTAATAAATACAAACACTGAGTGGATAAAGAATTACCAACATCGACAGTCTTGAAATAATATTACAAACAAAATAACAGCATCTTTTTTATCCAACAAAAGCTTTCATTATTTCACTTATATCTCCATTTTTTGTTCAAGAATTTCATTTTAATTCACCACTTTTATTTCTTACTTGAGATACATTTTACATTTGTGGTGTAAACAGAACCAATATGATTTCTTGGACATGTATGAATGATATTTGTTATAAGAAATGCTGTACTTCTTGGAGAAACATCTAAAAGGTCAAGAGCAACACATACCTGTGGAAGGGCAGCTAATGTAGGATAGAGTGTCTTCAACTTGTCTGCACTTACACTGCTGAAGAAGAGTGAATGGGCTAGTTTGGCTGAGCTACAGGCATCATCTACAAGAATATAAAAACAGGACCATGATACACATCTCAAGAATACATTTTGAATCATTATGCATAACTAACAGCATGGTTAATGTCCAAAACGATTTGTAAAACATTGTTTATGTGACTAACAAAAAAAAAAAAAAAAATTGTACTGCTTTTAGTTGATCTTTAAAATTAGATTTACTCAAGATACTTACCTGCAAGCACACTACGTAATGTGAGATCATTCAACTTGGCACCACTTTCTGTGTCACCTATAAAAGGAAAAAATGGAAGAAAGAAAAAAGACCAATCATATATTTTGTGAAAGTTGTTAAAAGTGAGACTTTACACATGAATCAGTGCTTTCAAACAAAGAATTAATTAAAAAAGGGAACAAACTGTGACAAGATGTAAATATGGTTGATGTGGAAGTCTAGATAAAAAATCATTTTGAGACTCGACATGGCTTCTACTCACCAATAGTTCGGCATGTAGTTTTGATATTTTCTGTTGTTCTATACTATAAGTTGTAGGAAGAGAACCTGGGAATATGGACCAGGATTGTAGGAAAACACACAAACAAACAAACAAACACAAACAAGAACAAGATACAACTTATGGGATATCATCTCACTCTATTACAAGTTACTGAGTGAAATAAAGAAACTCACCAAATTGTATGTTGAGTAGGATTGATTTGTTTAAGAATGAAAACTTGTAGTTGTTCTCAAGGAAAGCTTGTAGTCTCCATTCTTGAAAGCTGTAGAAGAAATGCAGATAATAAAATAAGCAAAGATAAAGATTCAATGTAATCCAAAACAGCCATTTCAATAGACATTCAATTATGCTGTAATCAAACTCTCAAAATGATTCAAATGTACTATTGAAGATTTACAAATAGAAAAAAAAGCCAGTCCAAATGTTAATGCGAAGACCATGGATAGATATAATCTCATGCGGTACTTTTAAAATATTACTCCTCTTACATATGATGATATCTACATATTTTAGTCATTTCCCTTATATAAGTTCTAAAATTTACATCCCCTCTAATGGTTTTATTACATTTCATCTACATAACATGCATGTAAATAACAATAATATCAATCTTTAGGAGTGCTGAAATAAAAAGTAATGTAGTGCTTACAAAATTACAGAGTGTGAAGAGAAAACATAAAATACATAGACTCATGTAAATAGGTAAATCGCATTAAGTTACTACGGGAAGAAGTATGTTTTTAAGGGATCTTTTGAAAGAAGCAGGAAAGGGTTAATTCTCTGATGGAAAGTGGGATATTGTTCCATGAAAATAGGTAAAGTGGGATATTGTTCCATATTGTTCCATGAAACGCAAAAATACAAAAGTGAATATATTACCTGTGGAGAAGGACGATGTCTGACTTCATGTCCTTTAGCTCCAGGTCTGTTTGGCTGATTCCAGTTCCAAGTTTACTCAGTTCTTCTTGCTCTGCCTCCAGCTTGGTTGTGCTTGCCTCTATGCTATTTATCTCTGCTTCTAACCTTTTTCTTTCACTGCAAACATAAATTACATTCATTTAGTTTCCATTCTATCAAGTCAGTTTTACATGGGCAAGGCATAAGTTATTTTTTATTTTTCAAATGTACCAGTCACAAAAAACAAACATATTTTTTGTTTAGTACATTAGGGGCTCCATGTTCTTACTATATTCAAAATATAAGCTTCAAAAAGTATATCTATAAAGAGATATTGCAAATTCAAACACATGCTCATTAAAAAAAAACGTGAATTATGAATGGACAATTCAATGAACCTGTACATGCAAAATGATTTTGGCGTAAATATTCACAACTGAGTGATACACGCCTTAAACCTAAAACAACAACAACATGCTAGCATTGAATAAGGCCTGCATGAAACTCCAGTCCGACATGGGTTCCATGCGTAGGGTTTATGTCATTCTTTATTTTCTTCATACTCCTCATTCGTTAGCCCATAGAATGCCGGGAAAACAAATTTGAGTTGGATTTTATATATTCTAGCTTTACACAAATTATTTCTTTAGGTGGTTGGTACACTTTAATTTCATACATTAAACAGTATAAATCATTCACGAACCAGTATATTCAATATCCATGTTAAAACATTAAAACTAAGCTTTAAACTATCGGTAGTATTAAAGCTAAAATAACTAAACATTGCTCCTTCTAAATGGATTAAAGGGGCTAAATGGGCATGAAGAGAAAATTGTGTATCCATAAATTACAACTGCACGATTGATATCAAATATGAATGAAACATTGAATGCAGTGTAATTAGAGTATATTCAAACTTCAATTAATCCTTTTAATGTACTCTTCTTTACAGATCAATCATAATAGTTGTTTGAGCAACACAAATAGTGATTCCATGTATAACTTAACAGGAATCATTTCAACATATTAGAAATGAACAAACCTTTCGGTCTCTTGTACTGTGCGTTCCTCTTCTCTTAGTTTTGTTTCCATGGATTCCAGTCGCTGTGAGTTTGCAACCCATTCAGATTTCTCTTCCTCAGTAGGTAGTTTTATCTGTTCTAAGCTGTTGATAGCATCATCTAAGGCACTATCCACTGGATTTAGGAAGTAAGCATTTGTATCTTACATTTTTTTCATGATTTTTATTAGATAATATGAATCTTTTTGCATGATTCATATTATCTTTATAAAATGTTATGCTTTATAGAATGTTATGACATTTCAATGCAATTTAATGTTTAATTGTCCGTATATGGGGATTTATCGTTCACATGTATTTAATACAAAAGGTAAATATACAAACAGTTATTACAGTTCCTAATCATCACAAAAATAACATATTTTCATGGAGTTTGTTTAGATCCCAAGAGTTAGTTCTTCATTCTAAAGATGATATATGTGTCATATGAAGCAGGTTCAAGTAGAAGTTTACTGATATTCTAAATATATAAAGGTAATATAATGCATAATTGCAATCAAAAGATGAGAACAAAATGCTCAGGGAAGGAAGGAATTTCAAGATACAATAATCTCTTAATGTTCCAGTATACAAATTGAAGTGTTATGACTATATGAGTATCATATTCAAACATACCGGAGGCTAATTGCTGCAACTGCTCATCAATTGTACATATTGAGCTTGTCAACTTGGCAAGCTTGTTTTCAAGATGGCGGCTTGAATCCTGGCAAATACATATAAAAGGCAGATTTGATTAATCTATTAGTCTACAGAGGGAAAAAACAACACAATATGATTTCCACTGATACATGTATTACAAAATAATGCTTTTAATGTTTTTTTATTCTTCCATATCATTGGGGATTCATACAACCAACCAACGTAGCTATTCATAATTTAATTACTTTTGCAAATTGTTAATCTGAAGATGCATTAACATAAGACTATCTGTATAGCACTGGATACTCATGTCTCTAAATGTTCAAATTTCAAAGTTCAAAAGTCATCATTCACCCCTTTCTTAGTATTGATGTACACACAAACTGTTTACATCATCTCCACTCCCTGGAAACTATCCCTACCAAATAAGCACTTTTAGGGGGGATATGGCATTAAGCATCCTGCTCCTAAAGACTCTCATGGGTGCAGAGTGGTAAATATAGATCAAAGTTTGCCATAGGATTTAAAAATATATAACAAATGCCACAGCTGAAATTTGAACATGGACCATGATGTCATCTGTTTGGAGCAAGAATTGCATTTTTTTAATATACTTTAAAGGGATAGTTGAGTTCTGTTGCAGAGGTCGCTACACAAAATAATTTTTTTGTGAGATAATGAAAAACTGACTGTCAAATTTGAAAGAACATACAATTTAAATGACAAAATCATCTTTGTTTGATCAAAATCAGTTCAGAGACTGCTCAAATATCAATAAATATAGCGATTTCTAATACTTGTGTACCACCACAAATATTAGATAATTTGAAAAACCTGTTGAAAAAAACGAAATAGCGCCTTTTACGTCGTATTTCAGCCAATGCAGATGTTGGCTTTTTTGTTGGCATTTTCATGTTGGTTATATCAAGCACAACCAGCCGGCCCATGTATTGTTATTTTTAATTAAATAATTAATTAACGGTCACCATATTCTTTTGAAAGTGGAGCTGACTTGGTGTGATCGTTTTGGCTAAATTTCATACATTTTGGGGTCTAAAATTACCTTTATAGCAATTTTAGCTTCTAAAAGGGCACTAGAAATGTCATAGATAAGAATAAAAGAATAACCATGCACTTTGAAGGCATTTGCGGTCTGAAAACAGAACTCAACTATCCCTTTAAACTTAAAGTTAATGTCCTTCTGGCTCTGAACAGATGATTTAATCCATAGTCCTTTGACTTATCCATTAGACCATGACAGACACCCCCAGGTTACTTACCTCCATGGCCGCCTTGGTATTGTTGATCATCTGCAGTCTCCATTCTTTCATCTTGGCTTTAGATGACGCTGTGCAATACTTCTGTAGACTCTTGCCCTTCTTCAGGATCTCAGCACACTGGAGGAAAGACATGGCAGCAAGTAACTACTAAACATTCTAAGACATCATTCCTTGACACACATGTAATAATAATATAGTTTTGTTTACCCAGGGAAACTTCTTCAGCATGAGGGTTGTTCTTCCTGAGGGTCCTGCTATTATTATTAGTACCCCAGCAGTTGCCAGATACCCATTTACACCTGTGTGGATATAGTAGCAAATGTGGATTACCTAATGTCTTGCCAGAACATGTGAGTGCTGGGCTGGGATTCAAACCCTCATCCCTTGGATTGGGAGTCAAGTGAATGAAGAATAATACCATGACACCTCCACATGTTTAGAGAGACATTTTATCATCCACTACATGGAGGTAAACAACAGCATTGATCAAACTAATGGATTCTGTGGAAATCATGGTGCATCACTGTTTGTATTGTCTTTACTCTTACTGAGCTGAAGTTAGGAAGTTTTCTACTTTTATTCATTTTGTACCATATGATTTAATATCTGATGATACCAAACTGATATGTTAAGAAAAAGAAGGGAAAACATTTTGTGCTTAGCCTCCTACAGCCTTCAACCTCATAGAAAACCGAGTAAGATCATGCATCCTTTAAGAACCAGCAAGGTGCAAGTTATTCCACCGTACAAGTATTTTCATAAGTTTTATGTGAGATGGCTCTACTGAATCTAAAAGGGCTAATTCTTCTCTGCCCTTTAATATTCACAGAGAATCAAGAAAGATAACACACCCTTTCAGGACCAGCAGACTGCATTTCCTTGATGATGGGAGCACCCTCCTTCAAGTGTTTTGTCTCTTGGGATCTCACTGACTTCCTAAGCCTAGATAAGAGAACATCATGACCATTGTATCATTACAACATTTTAAAATCATTTACCATCATTACTTAGTTACTACCAGTAAATAAATTTTAAGAATATCTGCATTAGGGTTAACTTGGAAGATCTTCAAAACAGCATTCATACCGTATACAAATGAATATACACCATATCCAATTATAAATCAGTGTCACATCACACTTTTTTTTTCTCAGAGATTTTAAGTCGATTTCTATGATTTATTTATACATGCCATAGGAGGTGTCAAGAACAATGTATGCAAATTATGAATTTGTATTACGCGCCATCTCAATAGCAGTAGTGGGAGCTCCAAAATTTTGATGGCAAAATTTCACCTAAATTGTATAATGACGTGAAAGAGGATGTCATTTGACAAAAACTTTTGCAAGGATTTTCAAAACAAATGTGTTTGAAGACGACTGTTGATGAAAGAATACAAAATTTATGTTTTCTGCGTACAACAGTACACCCGAATATGGCATTCTGTCAATAATATTCGTCTTCAAACACATTTGTTTCGAAAATCCTTGCAGAAATGTGTGTTAAATAACATCCCCTTTCACATCATTGTACAATTTAAGTTAATTTTTGCAAAAAACATTTTGGGCCCCCAACACTTTAGAGGGGCTTTAGGCTTACATATTTAGTTTCAATCAGAATAGGAAATGAACACATGATATAACAAGAATGAAACTCACTCCTCTACAGCTGGTGTGAGGAATTTGATGGCCCATTCATACATGTCTGCTTTAGGCTTCACAAGGCATGCATTCTCCAACTGGCTGCTTAGTGTTGTAGGCTCATTGATCTGAAGGGGAGAGGGGAGAGGGGAAAAGGTTTACAAATTTGATGCTATCAATAAAGGGTGACGTACATACTATTATGTAGATACATATAGGTACTGTACATGGATATATGTTGCTCAAGAGACACGGATACAAAATAATTTGCTCACAGACATTCTCTTTGATTCAATCAGGGCCTCGATTGGACCTGAGACAAAGCTGGTTAATATGACAGTTGTACCTGCATAAATGTGGCATCAATACTCAATAACAGAGTTTCTTAGAGACAAAGTCAAGAGTTATTTAAAAGATTTTCAAAAATTAGTTTATTTATAATTCATAACTGGTGGAATATCAACTGGTCTCATCACATACATGCAAAATTTGGGCAAATGTATGTACATGTAGTCCTTCTAAATCTGTAATTTATCACTCTTTCACAAACACGACTCTTTCATACATTGCTTACCAAATAATGATGGTAAAACAGGAACTTAACTATATATGTTTATATATTTAAATCATTATTGCTTAAAATTTGTAGACAAAGATTTCCACAAGGACAGAATGGAAATGTTGTTATTGTCCCCCGAATAGTCGCCATGTAATATTTATATAATATGGACTGGCCTCGAGGGAGATACCACATAATATTTCCCAAACTAGATTCATATTGCCCCCCGAGTCAAAGACGAGGGCAATATGGGGCTTGTGAGGGCAATATATGTGGTATCTCCCGAAAGTTAAGCCAGTCAATATTATTATCCAAATCAGACATCTAGAGCGAATACATACATGACAATCTCAAAGAACTGAAAAAACTTTGTCAAACCAGCTAGCACTGTGCATCCAGTGCTTGACAAAATTTTCCATACACTGCAAACAGTGTGTGCCTTTGGTGTGATTAATACGTCACAATAGAGTGCGCAAAGCAGGTTCTCGTACGCATAATAGATGCGCAATGAAAATGACAAAATACGGCGCGGTTAATATGAGACTTTATTTCCTGCTTTTTTAACACATAAAGCCCATAGGCTTTTTCATGAAAGGTGAATATGGTCCTATATTCACTGATTAGCCCTTTTAGGATTACAAACAAGTGTCATAAATTATGATTTTGTAAAACCACTGCTCAGATGTCTGATACGGGTAATAACAATTTTTAATCAGTACTTGCCATGGAGGGGCACATGATACTGCGTTTTCCTATAGGAAGGTCATTGAACTTGAAGAACATCTGCAAGAAGTCCTCCACTGAACTGGCACCACTCTCAGATGACAGGGGCAGATGGGAAAGGTTAGAGGTCAGATAGGAGGCATCCATATGAGACGAGGTGAAAGCAGCTATCAAGAAAAAAAAAATTAAAGCTAACTTAATGCCCCTAAATCATTATACATGTATTTCACAAAATGAATTGTTACTTTGGCAGCAAAATTTGAAATATCTTTCTTGGGAAAGATTCCTCAAATACTGTCAAATCCCCAAACTTGTGAGGTGATGATTTCAGAGATTTGTAAGGAAAAGATCCCTAAATTTCAAAGGAGCTCAATAAGAGGAAAGACCTCTATTTTATTACCTTTTTCATCATCATTTGTTATAGTGATCACTTTAAAACTCCAATCTTTTGATATGGTCTCTTTCTGTAGTTTTTAAACATTCAAATATTATTTTTCAAAATGAACTTTGTCCCAGTCTATTAAAGTGCAATATGATATAAATGTGGAGATGAAACAAGAAAACATGTTCACAAGAAAGGCAAGCTTACCTTCATCAATTCTAGGTCTTTTTGTCGAAGTCAAGCACAAATCTTCAGTGTTATCATTGTCAATGGGGAGTTCATCCAAGATTCCCTTCTCATCCTCTGCATCGATCCAATCTGGTAAAATGATACTGTCCTTAAAGACAAAGGATGCATGAGATTCCAGGTCGGGTGAGCTGGAAGATCCCTCTCCGTCAGTCTTGGCCTGACCTTCCTCGCTTGAATTAGATGTAGTTCTTGTCGTGTTTGCTTTTGTAAGTGAACTCAATTTCCTCTTCCCTGATCCTGCCAGAGAGGAGGCATTGACGGTGAAGGTGTCCGAGTTGCGGCCCTCTAGGAGCTTCTCTTGCATAGCTAGTTCCTCTCCCAGCTGATGTTCCTCATCCTGTTGGAGAGCAGGGTGACTCAGAGTGTAAGTATCTGTGGTTTTGTCATGTGGGATGTCACCACTGATGTTGATTTCACCATTTTGTTGCTGTGTCCCCTCTTCAAGAACCTGAAACTTTTGCTGTGGCATGGAGTCATCTTCATCTCTTGAAGGGTGTTCAACATTGCTCAAGGCAGCCCCATCAGTAACAAGATTAAAGTGGTGGGTTCTTGTACTCTCGGATTCTCCACCAGCAATAGAGGAAGATTGGGGTACATTCGTTTGCACTCCTTTCATCATTGGAAATGTTACAGCTGAAATGTCAGATTGGGCATGATTCTCCTTTGCTGTATCACCATATGTTGACTTGTTGTAAGGGATGGTTTTACCTAAAGAGTCAGAGGTTAAAGGTTCTCCTGCATGTGCGCTTGTGTCCAAGTTTGAAGTCATTGAAGGGAATGCACCTACACATGCTGTCATTTCCATGTTTGTAGTATCATCAGACTGAGGAATATTTTTTGAACTCTTGTTGATAGTGTCCTTAACTTTTGACAGCAATGGGAGAACATCCCCAGCACATGTCATTTCCATGTTTGCAGTATCCTCACTGAATACATGTGTTTGATCATCTGTAGACACTCTTGCATTGTTCTCCAGAGATGGACCTGACTGTAATGCACCCACACAGGTTGTCATTTCCATGTTACATGTGTCCTCATTCTGGAGAAGCTCATGATCATGCTGTCTCACCATCACCAGTTGAGATCCTCCTGGTTGCTTGTCCAGACATTCAGTCATGTGCATGTCATCACCATTGTCTGCAGTGAAGTAGCATGTTTTCTCACCATTGATGTTTTTGTTGCCCTGGCTGATTTGAGGAAGATCTGCATTCTCGGAATACAAGGTGCTTGGAGGTGCATTTACACATTCAGTCATGGTAATGTGAGCAGTGCCATCAGTCTGTAGGTTGTCCATGCCTTGCTTCTCCCTCTTTCTCCTCATCTGGTATGCCAGTCCTTCTGGTAGTTTTCCTAAGTATGTAGTGGTCTCGAAACGTGTGGTGTCTTCAGTGTGTTTTGTGCTTTCATTGTGCACAAGCTGACTAAAACCTGAAAGAACAGAAAGAGCATGTTCCTTTTCTGAAGAAGGAAGCCCTACAGAGGACAGCATTTTGATTTGGTGCTCATTCTGAAATGAAAATGCAGAGCTATTTGTTCTATCAAGGACACAAGTCATTTCCATTGCTGCAGTGTCTTCAGAATTAGATATTCTGGTTTTGGATTCATTAAATGCTGATGGTGGTACAGCAGTTGAAGCCCCTTTGACCCGGCTGTCTGGGACGAAGGGTTGGTTGATGGCACAGGTCATTTCCATTGCAGCAGTGTCATCAGCCGGTTCAAATACTCTGGTTTTGTCTTCATCCAATGCCGCTGGTGATCTTGAAAGTCCCCCTCTGGCATGACTGTCTGGGACGAATGGTTGGTTGATGGCACAGGTCATTTCCATTGCAGCAGTGTCATCAGCTGGTTCAAATACTCTGGTTTTGTCTTCATCCAATGCCGCTGGCGATCTTGAAAGTCCCCCTCTGGCATGACTGCCTGTGACCAAGGGTTGATCCATGGCACAGGTCATTTCCATTTCAGCTGAATCATCAGCGGCCGGGTCAAATACTCTGGTGTGATCTGTATGATCATCTTTTGTATGAATTGAGAGCGACACCTCTTTGCTTGGGCCTGATAGAGCATTCTCCTTTTCTGCAGAAGGAAGTCTGGTAGACAATGAAGACATCATCTTGCCTCGGTGAACATTCTGAACGGAAAACGCTGAGTTACTTGCTCCACTCACCACACAGGTCATTTCCATCATGGCAGTATCTTCTGTACTGAACACTCTTGTTTTGTCTTCATGAAATGACTCTGGCACCCTTAAAAGTCCATCTTTGGCCTGAAAACCTGTGACAAGGGGTTGAGTAATGGCACAGGTCATTTCCATTTCAGCTGAATCATCAGCAGTTGGGTCAAATACTCTGGTGTGGTCTCCATGACTTCCTTTTGCTGCAACAGAGGATGAAACCACCTTGCTAGGCCTTACAGCAGGTAATGAATTACCAATGGCACTTGTCATTTCCATAGCAGTGGTATCCTCATTATCAGGTGCCCTGGTCTGCTCTTGCTGAACTGGTCTGACCCTCATATCCTTAGTGTAATTACTACATGTGGTGATATCCATTTCATCTTCCTCTGTACAGGCATCAAGTGGAGTAGCTGCAGAAACTGCTGATTTTTCCAAAGAGGTTACATTTAACATCGATGCTGTGGATGAAGAAACCTCTTGAATAGGGTCCAGGACTATCGACTTTCGAGTATTATCTCTTGTGCACTGCAAAACTTTCATGTTACCAGTTTTGCTACTGTCCACGTAGGAGCCTGTTGTTTCGGCCCCACTACAATCACTCCCAGCAATAGCATCGTCTATTCTCTTGAGGAGTCTTGCTGTGGATTCATGAGGCAAGTCAACATAATCGCTTTCTGACATTTTACCAAAAACCTGAGTGAAGTTTAAATTAGTTCCTGTTTGATTCAAAGTCCTCCCAAGGGATCTGCTAGTGTTCGTTCCGCCGAAATCCTTCAGGCACGCTGTCAATTCCATGTTGTCTGTGTTCTCAGAATTGAATATCCTGGTTGATTCTGCTGCCGGTCTATCAAGCTTCTTTTGCAGGGTATCAAAGCCTCCCATGCACGTGGTCATATCCATTCCATTTTCAAATCCATCTCCTTGTCCTCCAAATATTCTTGTGATATCTCCAACTTTTTCTTCCTGTCCTTCATATTCATTTGTAACTTCGCTGGAGTAGACACAATTTGTGAGCTCCATACCAGGATCTGCATTCTGCTGCTCAATGTTGGCTTTTATTGATCCCACGCCTTCAGAGCTAGAGGAGGATGGTCCTGCAGACACAAATGCCTGCAAGAAGCTACTCCTGAAGCTGGACTCTTGAGGTGGGTCTTCTTGACCACCTTGCTGTTGTTGTCCAGAGTTTGGTGGGTAAGACTGAAAGGCAGGTGCTGCAAAAGCATCTAGGTCCGTTGAAAAACTACCTTTACTTCCACATGAATCTGCAGCAATGAAAGATTTCAGGAAACTGCTTTTCACACTTGTTTCATTCACATCATTCTTCCTTTGGTCTAGGTTAGCGCTTTGAGGATACTGACGAAAGTTCTCAGCAGAACTGTCAAAATAAGAATGAAATGAACAGGAGAAAGTACAAAATTTAGGTTACTTCAAAATATTCCATGGAAAACATACCTCACCTTTTACACATTTCAGATATGGTGCTTTTTAGCTTCAATTGTGAATTTTGGAAAACATATAGATTGACAATATTCATTGTTCACATGTATTATATCGTTTATAAAGTACAACCTGGTAATACAAACATACCATCAAATTGTTCAAATTATATACACATGTATGGGGTTCGAGTTACCTTGTACTTTGTACATTGGTGTGAGATGCTCCATAAGGATCTTGCCCGGTTGAGGTCATTGAATGTGCTTCCTGTTTGATGGGTCCAGACAAGAGAGTCTCCAAACCTTAACATACAAAATAATGAAAACAAAGTGTAAAAAAGGTACAAACGACTTTGTAAATTCAAATCAAACATTGTACATCAACACACATTGGCTTGATCAAAGAAATATCAATTTACACACTTTATATCACTTATGGAGGTGTCATGGTATAGTGGGTCATTCACTTTACTCTCAACCCAAGACTTGAGGGTTTGAATCCCAGCCTAGCTTGCACAAACATCATGTGGTAAGACATTAATCCATATTTGCTACTCTTCATGCAGGTGTTAAATGGGTACCCGGAACGATGCGAAAGTCACTGTAGTATGCTAAGCATTGTGAGCATCTGTAAAATGGTACCTGGCTGGAATGCTCCCCGGGGAGTAGAGAATAAGCATACATTGTGTGTGGACAAGCATGAATTTGATGACAGGGGTAATAATATTTGATTAAAGTGCTATAAATAGGCATTGTTGATGTATCAGTCCCTATATAGACTCCGCCCTTCAGGTGATCTGAGCCTGCAGATTGGAAACGCCACTGTTGATCCATCAACAACTGTTAAAAATCTTGGTGTTTATTTTGACCAGACTTTGTCAATGTCGGAACATGTTCGTAGAGTGTGCCAGGTGGCCAATTTCCATATGAGAAACATATGTCATGTGAGAAAGTATATTGCAGGTGAAGCTTGTAGTCATGCAGTACGTTCTCTAGTTTTGAGCAGGCTTGATTACGGTAATTCCCTTCTGGCAAATGTGAATGCCGGGGATTTAAAAAGACTGCAAAAAATCCAAAATCGAGCGGCTCGTCTGGTGCTTGGTGCAAAGAAAAGAGAGCCAAGTGCTCCTCTGTTGAAGCAACTACACTGGCTTCCCATCAAACAGCGAATTGAATTCAAACTAGCACTTTTAGGGTACAAGTGCTTAATGCATTCTGCTCCACACTATCTGTCTATCATGCTTACTACTCCTCCAGTTTTCAGATACCATCTGCGTTCACAGAACGATCAGACACTATTACTGATCCCACGCACCAATACCAAGGCAGCCGAACGCTCATTCTCTTATGCTGGACCATCCACCTGGAACACTCTACTACAACACCTCCGCCTATGTAGTACAGAAGACACTTTCAAAAAGAAACTTAAAACCCAACTCTTTCCATCTTGAATCCATAATGTACATTTTGAGTAGCTAAATTTTCTTTTCGTTCATAATATCTTAATTACTGTTCCTTGTTTAATTGTTATGATTTGTATGTTTCTTTGATGTTGTATAGCGCTCTGATCAGTTTGTCTGTAGTAGCGCTCAATAAGAATCAATTATTATTATTATTATTATTATATAAACCCAGAATATTAACATTGTAGGTAACTGAATTGTATGAATAACATAAAATTTGTTAAAATTTTCACTGATGTATAAAATATAGTGTCAACCATGTTATCAACCACTCATTCATTCATACATTTAAGATGAAGTATCTAGATTCCAAAAACAATCTTCTCAACAAACATGAAAGTAAATTAATAATCACATTACAACCTATCAAAGGTTGTATTTACCGGTAATATTGGATAAAATAATTTGTAATAGATGGTGAAATCAAGAGTGAAATTAAAGACTTATCGATTTACCTGTAATTTGATGAGCTGGTTCAAGATGACTATCACTGGGCCCAGCATGATCAGATGGATTGTTTGCTCTATAGAAGCAAAGCACAAAGAAACATTATCATAACATAAATCTGTGATTGTCTTTGTCTCACACCGAGGGGACTTGCATACATAGAAAAGTAAAAATGCAGTGAGTGAAAAAATGTGAAACGAAACTTTGCACTAATTTGACAATATTGACAGTGGGACAAAATGTCTGTACCACATTATCATTTTCACTGAGTAAATGTTACATAATCAGAAACATGGTTATATTTAGAATGCAAGAGAAATGGCTCCCAAGCCTCCCATATATTCAACAACATAAAGTAAAAATGCTGACAAAGACTGAGCAAGCACTTCTTCATTTGGGGTATTTTTTATACTGAACTAAAGCAGTCACATGTAAATTGTATGCATGGGAAGCTGCACTTGGAAATGCATTTATGAACCAAAGCATCTTGGATACCTCAACTATTTTTTATATGAATAACCTCCATTACAGAATGTCTTTAATTTCGTAGAGGAATATGTGCATTACAGATAACAACAGTTTTCTGTTTTAATTGCGGCCATCAATTTAACGCTCTATCCACTTCGAACAAGATAAACTGCTCTCAATTTAAGTTATAAGTAATCAGCTTTCACTTGTAATGTAAAATGAACTCAAAAATTAATTCTCACATACTTGGTAATAATAATGTAGCTTAATTTACTGTCCAATTACTTACTTTTCAAGGTCAGGTAATTCCTGATGCGTTGTGCCGTCTTGAGAATCGTCCCACAAGCCTAACTCTTTTCTGTCAGAATCTTTCATAAATTCTCTGGAAATATGAACAAGCAAGAAATAAAGAAGTATTCACTATGAAAGAAACAATCTGATCGAAGCCGTATATGCCTTTGATTCCCGGGTGAAATATGAATGTACAATTTGCATTATAATAATAATAATAATTCCGCTTTTATATAGCTCTTAATACATCTATGATGTCTCTATTAGCGCTTTACCCCGGTCATTGGATTCAATACTCCACTCCCTGGGGAGCATTCCAGCCAGACGTTACTTGACGCTCATAAACTGTTTGACCAACAATGACTGTCGCATCCTACCGGGTACCCATTTAACACCTGGGTGGAGAGTAGCAAGTGCAGGTAAATATCTTGCCAAAGGATATTAGTGATGTATCTGACCTGGTAGAAAAAGTACACACATGTACATAAAATATATTGATAAACAAAGAGCTGGGCTGTATGCAGAAGTAATTCATCAAGATACTATTGCTTCCATCCACTCTATCATGTCCCACCAAATTGGTAAATGTGGGTTCTCAAAATCATTTAAAATTTCTACTAAAATCAGAATTTAGGCAAGGCTTAATAAATGTTATGATTATAATATGTAATTAAAGTATCAATCTATGCTTGCCAGAAAAAGGAGTACCGGTATGTGACTCCATAAGCTAGCATCAGGACTTACTTGACTTGGTAGGTCTCTGCAAAACTCACTCTCCTGGAAGACCTGCGCTGCTTTTTCTTTGTCCTGAAGAGAATTACAAATCATCAAATAACACACTCTTTAGCACATGTAGAAGAAAAAAGTATAACATTGTGGGGACTGGAAGTAAGCAAGAGTCTTATCTCGATACCATTCAAACTTTCAAAAGATTTACTGGTAACTCTCCTTTTCTTTAGTCTTGTCTATAAATAAGGACATGTCACTGATAACGGGGTATTGTGGCGTGCGCTTGTAATCCAGAGCTCTAACAATGGAAGTAACAAACTGATTCAGCCGAGGACGTAGGTTCAAAACTGAGTCACGTCTTTCGGATGGTGACGTTAAAGATAATCATATCTGATTGATACACATCTGTAAAAACACAATTACACACACACACCGATGTCATTAATTTACCTCAAAACTGTATCCCCCCCCCCCCCCTGCTCCTTACATTTCATATTCAGATAACTTGTACAATCTAGTTTGTTAAGAATTCATTAACTGGTTATATATTTTTTATTGAGATATTAGGCTGTAAACTTACACATCCAAATGTGTTGTTTCATCACTTGGTGGTCCATTCAGGTTTGGGTTCAAATCCAATAATGCAGTTCTAGATGGGGACTGGGCCTTCAGTATCTAGATGTAGTAAAGAACAGAATGGAATAAAATAATAAGCATTCCAGGACTATATGCCTTAATAAAAGTCAGATATGCATACGAGCCTGCATTTTACATCTATAGATAATCATTTAGTCTCATGATAAACATACTGTCCGATTATCAGTCACAGCTGTTATATAAAATGTTTAGCTCAAAGCTCATGTCAATATTTCTCAAATTTAAGAATAAAATAATTGCAATTATATAAAGAGAACAGAGCATTGCAGAGGTGGGGAAATGTATGCCATAGCAATGATAGAACAAAAGTGTGGGTTGTAGTAAGTGAATGTCTAAGTCTGTGAATTCTAGTCCAAATCTGGCACTATAATCCATCCCACAAACTCTACCAATAATTCAAAAAATAATATTTGTTTGTATTAACAACTTAAAATAAATGCAAGTGTTGTTTAACTTTAACAATTTAATTTGTGGATTGACATCTATGAACATGTACTGTAACAAGAAAAGGGGGAAACGGTTTTCAATCTGGATGGCTGAAGAATAAAGAGATTAGTTTAGATCTATGACTATGCAGCATATTTACATATTTCTTTTATTTTAATTGAATGGCAAAATCTGTGAAGAAGAAAAAAAGAAGTGAATCATAAACTTACAGAAGACAAAGACTTCCTTTTCCTACTTGTCATTGTGCTGTAAAGAAAACAACATAAACGAATCAAGATGAATAAAACTTAGAAGTGATCAGAAAACTGAAGTTTTGATAATGACCCTGATGACATTTTTTGGCAGACGATATCTGAATTTCAAAGAGAAAATCACATTTCTAGAAAGTTGAGTTTCAAATGACACCTTAATCAGGAAAAACGAGCTAGGAATAACAAAGTTCTGTTTGTTACTTAAAAGTAGTGCTTGCATTTCCATAATTTTATTAAACGAATTTGTTTTCACTGGCTGCCTGCCGTATCAACAAACGAAATTAACAAAAGACTTAACTCCGTTTCGTTGACAATCAGCCATAGACGAAAGACTTCATGCACGGCCGATTGTCAACGAAATGGAGTTCTTGTCTGTTGTCAATTCTGCTTTTTGCCCAAGCAGGCAGCCAGTGAAAACGAATTTGTTTGCTAAAATTATGAAAATGTAAGGGCTACTTTAAACAAACAGAAATTTGTCATTCCTTACTCATTTTTCCTGATTGAGGTGTCATATGAAAGGGCAAAAACCCAACTTTCTAGAAATGTGATTTTCTCTTTGAAATTCAGATATCGTCCCTAATCATATGAGTTGCATCAAATGCAAGAGGACGATCTAAGCTTTCTAAATATGTGTCATTTATTAATTATAAACGTGATTAAGTTATGATAGAACATCGATAATTCTCGGTTTCGTTTTTTTCTGGGACGCACTGTCATGTCACTACTTTACACACACACAAAAAGCGACGGATGGGACAACAAAAACGTCGTTTATTCGGCAGTAACGGCTAACTCTGTGCTTGAAAACTCATATTATAAGAATTTTAATCCCATTTATATAACAAAATGCAATTTAAAACTTTAAAATTACTCATCTGAATTATCTTAAGAACTTAAAAATGGTAATTACGAGTAAAATGTTCGCTAAATCTAACTTACATTGAATGTTCCTAACCGTCAACGTTCAAAACATCCGCCGGTTGTCGCTTCTTTCTCAACTGCGCATGCGCGGGTAGTAGCAAGAGCGATACTTGCAAGCATTTTCAAGTGTAGAGTTCGATGCTTTCATGCAAACTGCCCTTCCAAGACGAGCATAACTGACATTTTTTTGCAAAATTTAGTTTTTTTATTGTGGGTGACTCAGAACATCGAGTTACAAAGGCTAAACTAAAATTTAGGGTTTAAAAAATACTGTAATTACCTATTTCAAAAAGTCAACACTAAATAAAAAAAAAATAATAACTCGGTAACATTCTTGAAGGTTGATTAAAAAAACTGCCTAATTTTGTGTGTGAAATGTTACTAATTATATGCCTTTCAATCTACTTACCTTCTAACATGCAAAAAATCCTGAAAAAATTCTCAAACCACAAAGATGTTTATATTTTCTTTGAAGGCGTCACTGTTCGACCGAGGAGGATATATTTGGTCCGACATAATTATAGCATCGAGATGAAAAGAGAGGAAAAGGACAACATTTGTGAATCACTGGTATCGAATTAATAATAAACAACATTTGAATGTTATTTGGGGGGTCAACTGCCCCACCTCCTCCATTAGTACGCCAGTGTTCATCCCTGAAACTAGAACAAGCCCCCCCCCCCCCCCAGTACAAAATAAAGTGATGAATTTCAAACTTGTTTTCAGATATGAGTAGTGACATGCCGATAGGTATAGTGGAAAATATTAAAGTGGGTGAAATCATTGTTTTTGGCTTTGCTCACAGTCGTACAAATAAAAAAAAAATTATTTTTTGTACCAAAGGGTGACCCTCAAAAGTGACCTTACCCCCCCCCCCCCCCTCCCCACCCTGAGTCGTTGCGAAAAATGTTGGGACAAAAAAAAAAAAAAAAAAAAAAAAAAAAAACGCTTATTCAGCGGCTGGCTGAGTCGTTGCGAAAATTTTGGGACCCCCCTCCCACCAAAAAAAATGTACTCTTACCCCCCACCCCGCTTATTCAGCGGCTGGCTGAGGCGTTGCGAAATTTCGCCCCGATTTAAAAATGTTAACCCCCCTCCCCCCCCCCCCCTTGAAAATATCCTGCGTACGCCACTGAGTCGGGGGCAGGGTGGTGGGGCGAGATTTCAAACAAGGAGGACAAATTACGATAGGATTTATATATGTGTTTATGTTTGTTTTTTTAATTTCGGCACCATAGGAGCGGGGGATGTCTCTTTATAATTATCAAAGTTAAAAGATAAAAAATACCAACTGTAAAAAAAAGACAAATATTGAGGGCCATGTGTCGCCCCTCCCCCACAGCTACTCCATAGCCGTAAGGGTGTCCTCCATACAATATTTCCAATTGTTATTAACATTTTGTTGATTGCTTAGGCATATTTGATATTTTAAGACTTGAAGACTTCGTGTGGGAGTGTATTTGGAAATAGAATTGCTCGGAACTGGTATGTAGGGGAAATAAGAGAGTAAACTGATGTACTAGGGGTGTACTAGTTACAGAATTTTAAAGATAATCCTCTTCTCAACTGGCAACCAATGAAGAGAACGGAGAATTGGTGATATGGAATCAGATTTTTTAGTGAATGTTAATAAAAAAATTAATAGGCATGCTGCAGAATTTTGAAGTCGTTGAAGTTTTGTGACATCTTTTTTTGAACAACGAATTTGCAAAATCTAAACGAGAAGAAATTAAGGCAGGAATCAAGAGAACCACATTTGGCGCATTAATGTCCACCGGCACTTCCTGGAAAAACACGAGGCCTTCTGATTGGTTAGAAGGTAGAGAAGTGATCTGTCACGTCGCGAGACGTATATGCTTCGTTGCTGCACAATGCACAAAGACGGTGGTCTAGTACTTCACCAGTAGTAGGCCTACTTTTTTGTTTTGTAGCATTTTTTTATTGTATTCATTCAGTACAAAATATATAACAAACAAACATACAGCTTCATTGATTTACATATCATATCAAAATATAAGGAAAATTGTACATCTCTCCAAAAAAAAAATACATAAGATAGTTTAATACACAGTACATAATGTTTTCAAATTAATTATACTGAACGAATATTATAAATCAAAGAGTTACCTACAGACAGACAGACACACCACATACGCTCACATACTCAGACACACATACAAAGCTTCATATCCCCCTCCCCCCTTCATTCCAAAGCTCAACAAATCCCCCCTCCCTTCCCGAGCATTCACATCTACATATTTGTTGGAAATCCTGTCTCTTCCTTTTACTTAAGACCAAATTATATATATATTTTTTTAAATGTCTGAGTCTGAGAAAGAAGTATTTGCCTCGCCGTCCTTAACGGTGGAAGTTGTCCCATTTTCTGAAGTGAAGTGTTAAAGTGCCCCTCTACCCCGCAAACAAGTCATAATCTCGAGTGTATAAACTGTGTCGTTTCATTAAATTATTACTCTTAATCCTTGTCTGAATTCATTTTCGCCCATGCAGCGCGAAACGCGGAAGCTTTCACGTTTCATTAAATTATAAGAAAAAGAAGACGATTCGTTGTATCGTGTTCTTGTCTGAATTCAGTTTACCCCTCCCGCGCAAAACGCGGAAGCTTTGATGTTTCATTAAATAATTAGAGAAAGAAGACGATTCGTTGTTCTGTTTCGACTCTTGAAGTTTGAAGTTTTGTTTATTCCACATCTTACATAGAAAAACAGTTTATATTCTTTAAATTAAAAAAAAATTATACAGGCGTTTATTATTATAAGAGTAGATTTCACACAAGAAGAAAAAAAAATATAAAAGATTTCAAATAAAATATAATGTACGGAAAATAAGTACGAAATCCTTGTCTGAATTCAGTTTTCACCCCCCCCCCCCCCTCCCGCGCAAAGTGCGGAAGCTTTCACGTTTCATTAAATTATCAGAGAGAGAGAAGACGATTCGTTGTACCGTTCTTTACTCTTACTCCTTGTCTGAATTCAGTTTCCCTCCTCCCGCGGAAGCTTTGATGTTTCATTAAATCATAAGAGATTGATGCAAATACATGATATTTATTCTCTTGAGAACATAAATGTCACAACTAGCACCCGTGTTACTGATACCTCATCTAGCCTAATAGATTTGATGGTTACTAACAGGATTGATCAAATTAAGTTATCTGGTGTTATCAATATTGGATTAAGTGACCATTCACTGAATTATGTTGTTTGGGGACTACCTTGTACTCACCATGTTCCTCGTACTATAACGTATAGAAAAATGAAAGGTATTGATATTGTACATTTTTGTGAGCAGCTTGATAATCAACCCTGGGAGAATGTTTACTTAGCTCAAGATATTGATGAAGCAGTTCAGTTGTGGGAGAATTACTTGATGGAAGTTGTCAATACTTTTATGCCCTCTAAATCCAGGAGAATAAAAAATAAAATTTCTCCATGGATGACTTCTGAAATCATGAATTTGATAAAGGAACGTGATAAAGCCAAAAGAAAAGTACGGAAAAGCAAAAATAACGATGCTATGAATGCTTATCGTAAGTTAAGGAATAAAGTAACTTTTGAAATAAGAAAAAGTAAAAGACAATATTATGTTAATAAACATACTGTCCTCTGCTATGGGGAGATCTACTGAGGTTTGGAAGGTTTTGAAGACTGTTTTGCCAACATCTCGTACTAATAGTACTGAAGCCCATGTAAATGATTCTGATATGAGATCTAATGAGTTTAATCTATTTTTTTCTTCTATCGGTGCAGAGTTAGCCTCTAATTTTCATGATCCTCCACATTCAATAAATGATGATGAAGTTCGTGTTAAGAATGATGCTAAGTTTACGTTTCATTTAGTCACTGAAAATGATGTTCGAAAAGAACTAATGAAATTGAAAGATAATACTTCTGTGGGTTTAGATGGGATTTCTTCCAAAATTTTGAAAATGTGTGCTCCTGTTATTGTTCCATATCTTACTCACATAATTAATAGATCATTCCTCGAGTATAAGTTTCCAAATCAATGGAAGAGGTCAAAAGTCATTCCCATTCATAAATCTGGCAACAAAAATTCGCCAAATAACTTTCGTCCTATCTCAATTCTACCTACGGTATCAAAATTGCTGGAAAGATTTGTTCAGCGGCAATTAGTATCTTTTTTTAGAAGAAAACAAACTTTTATCAGCAGAACAATTTGGCTTTAGAAGTAAACACTCAACAATAACGTCTTTGGTTAAAATTACAGATAGATGGATGAACGCTGTTGATCAGGGAAAATATACAGGAGCAGTATTTATTGATCTAAAAAAAGCTTTCGATTGCGTTGATCCTGACTTGCTCCTCGAAAAGCTACGTAATATTGGTATAGCTGAAGAATGTTTGCCATGGTTTCATGATTATTTACATAACAGGTTTATTTCCACTTATTTTGGTTCAACTCTTTCATCTCATTTGCCCATTTCTTTTGGTGTACCGCAGGGTTCCATTTTGGGGCCTTTGCTTTTCATTATTTTCGTCAACGATTTAACTCAATATACACATTATTGTTCCATTCAGCTTTACGCTGACGATACTGTTCTTTATTTTTCAGATTTTAATGTGGAAAGTGTTCAAAATAAACTAAATCATGACTTGTCATATATTTATAAATGGATGTGCAATAATAAGTTAACACTGAATTTTGATAAGACTGTATCCTTACTCATAGGCTCTAGACATATGTTAAGTAAATGTAATAAACTAAATGTATATATAAATAATATTGCAATACAACAGACTGACAGTGTAAAATATCTCGGGTTCATTATCGACAGCAAACTTAAGTGGGATGTCCATATAGATAAATTATGTAAGAGGGTTGGAAACCTAGTAAAATATTTGGCTAGACTACGTTATTTTATTAATGAGACGAATTTGAACTTGATCTATAAAGCAATTATTTTACCCCTTTTTGACTATGCAGACATTTTAATCGATTCATGTGATAAAAAATATATTAAGAAACTGCAAACTCTACAAAATCGCGCGGGCAGAATAATAATGAAAGTTAATCCATATGAACACATCTCTAACGCACAAATTCATTCACTTTTAAAATGGTCATCTCTCGAATCCAGGCGTAAGAAAAATCTAAATGTATTTGTCTATAAATCAGTCCATAATATGTTATCTCCCAGTATGAATGAAATGTTTCAACCCCCTTCTCATATTTATTCCCTCCGCAATTCCGGTAACTTTGTTCTCCCTAAACCTAGAACTGAATATTGTCGCAGAACTACCCAATACAGAAGCTCAATTCAATATAATACTCTTCCTCCTACCACTAAATTACTTCAAACTGTTTACACATTTAAAAAGCATTTAAACAATACTATTCCAGACTTCTTGTAGCTGCATCTTTTTTTTTTTTTTAATTTAAAAAAAAAAAATAATAATTTACTTGTCTAGCTTTCTCTCTTGTATATATATCGTAAATATTTCTCTCCTGTTTCTTGTTTTACTCGAATTTGCTCCTATCATTATTGTAAGTTCTTATTTTGCTATACTGGTTTTCCTTACTTTTGTAATATCTATTTTCATATTTTCTATGTCTATAGGGACCCCTCTGTAAACCAGCATTGTTATGCTAGCAACGCTGAGTAGGGCCATCCCTCCGTCTTTCTTTTTTTATAACTGTGTTTTTTTATGATTGTAAATATATATATATATATGTTGATGTATTTTTTTAAATGACGGAAAATAAATACAATACAATACAATACAATACAACAAGAGAAAGAAGACGATTCGTTTTACCGGCTCCTGATCATTGTCTGAATTTTTTTTAATGTTTTTTTTTCCGATAAAAAGTCACAGTTCGTAGGGGAAAAAAGAATTGCCGGCCGACCGAAATAATACATCTCACCGACTTCAAACTTCTGCATTGAAATAGTACACTAGGATCGAGCAAGAATACTGACACAGCGGACCCGACACAGTGTCTTTCTTGCCCCCTCGATGTGGTGACTTCACCCAACATCCCGCTCTCTCTTCCTTACTCCCACCCCACTTCTCTCAGGCTCTTATCCCACTCTCTCTCTCTCTCTCTCTCTCTCTCTCTTCTCTTTCATCCCCGTTTCTTTTGTTTCCTTTTTCTTTTCTTTCTTTTCCTTTTCTTTTTGTCTTTTCTTTCCCTTTCCTTTTCATTTTCCCACTCCCCCTTTCCTCATTTTCCCAAGCAGCAGCGTAATTTTACGGCCAATATCCTGACAGGTGCGGGGGGTGGGGGGTCGCACCCCATGACCCCCTTTAGTGACGACCCTGATTGTTATCCCATTATTTCTTTTTAAAGAAATGCAATTCCTCATGCTCTCGCACCTCTGCTCTATCGTGGTTTAATTCTCTTTCATTTGAAAAATCCTTTCTCCTTTAACTCTCCGCAAAAATGCTCTCTTTACCCTTTTTTCCGTCTCTTTTTGTTGTTCTTCTTGTGCTTTTTTTTTTTTTTTGGGGGGGGGCTACACGCCTGGCAAGAGGGACCCCATATTATGCACACTGCAGAATTGCAACCCCCGCCCCTTTCCCGGTAAACAACTCCTTCTTATAATATCATCCCCATTTCTTTCTTTTCCCTTCTCATTATTCTCCTTTTCCCCTTTTCTCTCCTTCCGTCTTTCCCTTTCTTCCTTTCCCACCTTTTCTCTCCTCTCTCTTCCCCTTTCATCCTTTCCTCCTCCCTTTTCTTCTCTCCCCTTTTCTCTCCCCCTCTTTTGTTCTTCTTTCTCTCTTCCCTTTTCTTACTTTTTCCCCTCCTTTTTCTTTCCCCCTCCTTTTTCTCTTTTTCTCCCTTTTTCTATCCCCCCTTTTTTACCGGGGGGAGGGCTACATGCCCCCTGTGCCCCCTGAAACAGCCACTGGCTTTAATATTCGTGAAATAGTTGTTTTATGGGCTCTAGGGGATGTTGCATCTTGCTATCACCTCTCGGCACGCCTCGAGGTGATATCAGGATGCAACATCCCCTTGAGCCTATAAAACAACCATTCCTCTCATTGCAGTCATTATATCTATATTATGAAACGGGACTCTGGAGTAATAACCGGCTCATTATATAGTAAGGATACATGCATACAGAAATGTCAGCAATGTAGGATAACTGCAAAAAATCTAGAGTTAATTTTAATAGAATTCGTTCAAACATTTACACTAATATTTTACCACCTCCCAATACAGTCCCTATTCACCTATTTCCACTTGTTTTCGTTGTACATTTTACCCCCTAATAATCTGTAACCCCTTTAAAACATATACCTAATGAAGTAGATGGCCCATGTTCATGTGAAATATATTGACCTCCTTGCTTGCACAATTACATAAATCTTTTAATGTCATTTTACCAGGAAAAAACAGTGTACGAGACCAATTGACCACTTTCCATCCAATTCGCAGTATTCTTTTCACTACAAAGCATGCCATAAAGCGAAAAATGTAGACTACCCCCCAAAAAAAATTTCTTTACAAATTATAACAAGATTGATAAAAATGCGTTTTATTTATACCTTGTCTTTGTTTTCTCCATTATCTATAAGTTGTTCATCTATTTCTCTTTGCCTATACCTTTCTCCTTCTATTCCCCCTGTAGCAAAACACACACACAAAGAAGTGAAAAGTAGGCTTCTTTGATACATCTTGTGTCAAAAGAGTAGCTCCAAATTGTTGAATAATAAATGAACTGCTCTTATCTTTGTAGCCATGGGTGTCGATCCCGGGGGGGGGGGGGATGGCCTGTACAATCATCCCCCCCCCAATAATTCACCCTAAAAAATAAAAAAAATAAGAGAAAAATTAATGATGAGAGCCTGATGAGAGTAGTTAATGGTTATTACTCGCAAGATGACCATCAATATACACATTTTGCTATCTCATTTTCATAATACATACATATACGAAGTAAATGAGACAACTGTATATGAGACAAGAATAAATTTAATTCTCGATCATACGGCTTCATCAGGAATTGATGAATTAATTCACTTTGTTAAATTGACAGCAGCATAGAAATGCAGTGCGCCAAAAAGCAACGAGCTAAATGTTAAGCGCGAAGCGCAAAAGTAGCAATCTGCAACATCAGACCATCCTTATTTTTGTTTTATTGAAAAGCTGATGTAGGTCTATGTCACTGGCGTACTGGTTGGTTCAACCCTCCAATAAAATCAATCCATGAATTATTCTCAATTTCATACAAGTGATTAATAAATGTTCGTGATATCACATGATTTTCAAAAAAATTCGCGTTTCTTCATTTCTGTTGCAAACTGTCACATTCCCAAATAGCCAGGAAGAGCATGTATTTTGTATATAAGAGGACACTTTTTTAGGTCAGCCATTAGTTTTTATCCAAAATACACACATACAAAATACCAAAGGGGGGGGGGGGGGGTTCAACCCCAACCCCCCCCCCCTGCGTACGCACCTGTGTAGGTTTACTGCAATCATCACCATAATTATAAAATTTACTTCTTTAATAACTTTGAATGTCATTAATGTTTAATATTTTACCCTTTCTGGGAAAAGGCTGCAAACGACCTCTATCATTATCGTTAAACACTGTTCAAGTAGATTACACATTTTAAAGAAAATTGGTGTAAACTGTTTTTAAATGTAATACTATTTAAAGGGGGAAAAGATGTGTTATGTTAATGTATTAACTTAAGTCATAATGTTTATACTTATTTTAGTAAGAGGCGTCATGGGGGCACGGTAGTTTGTTGATGAAGGGGTGCGCCCCTACCCCCTCCTTCCCGTCGGGGTTCCCCCTTCGCCTGATAATCACGCGCATGCGCAGAAAAATTATAATCACATTTCTCACAACTGATCAAAATTTGACCAGGATATAGACCTATGTTCGATGTATTTGTTATCATCTCGATTTTTACGTGTGTGTAGTACTAGTACACTACGTAACGTTGGTTGTTCTCACATAAAATCTGGTCATCCCGTTCAATCATCCTCTCGTTGTCGACGTTTCTGGAGATTAAGACACAGCGCGTGCGTCTGCAGCTCTACCACTACCAGGTACCCTTTTGGTAGCATATTAGACGCCAGCAGTTCCGGTCTGATTGAAACCTCGTATTGGCCTGTCGTCCGTGGCTCTAGCAATAGCATCCAGTACCGCTATACCGGTACCTTTCCATCTGCCGTTCTCCAGTGTGAAAGAAAAATGGCAGCTTCACAGTTCATCATTCCAAATGAAGTGCCTATTGTGAATCTGGAATGCAAGGCGGCATTCGACTGTCTCTCGAGCAAGGAGAAAAAATATGCCCACTACATTGGAAAGGCAGCGTGGAGTGGAGGCTTGATTTGTCTGTTCCAAACCAGCCCAGAATCTCCACTGATTTTTCTGCTCTTGCAAAAACTGTTCAAAGGGCAATCAGTAGAGGAGTTTAAGTCAGCTGCCATTGAGAAAGGGACCGCAGAGGATGAAGTCCAGGTACAGGATTCTAGCATTTATATTTTATGGAGAATTAAAGTGGTCTTAATAATATTCAGAATTAGATCTACTCTGTACTATAGCATGGTGTGTGATAATTCAGGGGCCTAAATTAATCTTTACATTCCATCCATTGTAACTATGACATTTGTTATCCTTTGCAGGCCGTCCTGACCTATGCTGCAGCCTTCTACTCTAATCTTGGTAACTACAAGTCATTTGGAGACACAAAGTTTGTGCCTAATCTTCCTCAGGTATGTCTGGAGTGTTGTCTTACTCAAAACAATTATAGTCTATGCAACAAAATAGAAAAACTTGCTTACTATACCCAGTAATCAAATTTCAAAGAATTTACTGGTAGACTAGTTTATTTTCTTATATTATTTTTCTTTTGATATGGAACAAACTATTCTCTAATGAACAATTGTAGCCCCCTCTCAAGACTGATATAACTTAAGCTTTAGAACAATGTTTCTTGACTACAATCAACCGATTTGTTATTTTCGTTTGGAAATTATATATCAGAACTGCATATTCTGAGATTTTCATGATCGCAGCTACCATGGAATAGGCTTACAGTGTAGGCGCTATTTGAAATATTTGAAATTTACCTGGAGCACCGGTAAGTTTAATTTTCACTTGAAAGCAGGGGCATCCAAATATATCCACATTTTAAAAAATTCAACTATCCATCCAATTTTCAAAATCTCCCAAAACTTAGCATTACCTTTAACACTGGACCTATTTCTAAAAATCAAGAAAAATTTAGCTAGTAGACCCAACCATACTATATTTTAATCTTTCTGTCTAATGACTATAAACTGCTTTTTTTTCTAGGATAAGTTTGAAGCAGTTATCCATGCCAGCAAGGCTTATACTGAGGATCCAAAGAGTATACAGACACAGTGGCATCAATGTAAGCATGCATTATACTCCGTAGAGAAAAGAGAACAACAACTTGGACTTGGGGAGGAGGTAAGGCTCAGACAATGTAATTCAGATGTTCGCTCCTGTGAGAAATATTCATAAATATAATGATAATTGTAAAAATAGTTGGATTTACATTTTGAAGCTATTTTTTTTCTTAGCATACAAAAAACTGAATAGTTTTCTGACTGTATTATTAGCAGAGCTGTTATGTTGAAGTACAATTAAATCATTACAAGATTTCCTTCCAACTGGGCAGGAGGGTACACATTTACTTCTGGGTGGATAGTGGCAAGTGTAAATTAATATATTGTCAATGCCATGGATGTTAAGGCTGTGGCAGGAACTTCAAAACCATCAAAAGCAAGCAGTAAACAAATAACAAACTAAACTTTTCTGAATAAAGAAGGATTGAAATCATGCAGAAGAGGTATCGTTGATTTGTTAGGGTTGGTAAAATATTTCTTGCAGGAAACTCGACAACAACAATCATTTTGTTGATTGAACAAGACCTGTTTTTTGTATATGATGAGTAGGATATCAAGGATTTCTCTTTCACTGTTTGAGTGAGTCATATTTAAAGCCGTCTATTAAGATCCTATTCAAGTGAAACTTACTGTGCTCTCTTGTTACAGACATGACACATTGTTAAGTACTTCTGTTGTAAATATAGAACCTCCTCTCCTCTCATGTTAATCACTATAAATTCATCAATTTCATTTGTGTATTTTTTATGTGTGTGTGTTTTAGGGGATTACTACTTACTTCTCGGACAACTGCACTCAAGCCGATGCAGAACTTGCAAAGAAATTCATGTTTGGAAAGGTATGATTTCATTGCTTAAATTATGAATTTAAAATTTAGTTTGAGATTTAGAGCCTTTATTTTCATAAGTATTTAGGCTCGCCTGCGTAGCAAAAAGCGAGACATAGGCACCGTCAATTTTTTTTGGAATATTTAATATAATAAGTATAAGTTATTATTCAATGAAACTTATAACTAAAGGGTTATCAAGTATCCCCAATCATGTGAGTAGAATTTCAGGTCACTAAGTCAAAGTCAAAGGTCATTGATGGTCAACAAACTTAGACTATGTTTTGGCATTGGGTTAAGATTTTGAATTTGTATTATTATTTTGAAAGTATACATTCCTTTTCCATGAAACTTGAACATTTATAAGGGTTATCAAGTATACCAATCATGTGGTTAGTCTTTAGGTGATAAAGTCAAGGTCAAATGTCATTTCAGGTTTGCAAACTTAGACTTTGTTGTGGCATCAAGATTTTGATTTTGAATTTTTAGCGTAATTTCAAATGTGTTGGTTCAAATTCCATGAAGCTTGTACCCAAGGGTAATCAAGTATCACAAATCATGACACAAATTCCGGTTATAAAGTCAAGGTCAAGGTCATTTTAGGTCAGTAGACTTGGATGTTTTCACAACTTAATACAAGAATTAAATCAATTTTTGTTATTGTTCTTCTTCCAGTGTAAGTGCTGCGTTAAGGTGATGAAGATAAACGCACTGTTATTTGTTCATATTTCATGAAAGTTATCAATCTTGGTACAAATAATAGTAAATAATTCTTCTGATGATTCTTAGTCAATATTCACTTCAAAATGCTGATTATATTCAAAGGATTTCATTTTTTGAGGCCTGCTAATGGGCCACCCTGCCTGTAAATAATGTCCCAACCTCAATTTGTCATCATATCGAATTGTGTAATGCAGGCGAGACAGCCAAGAGCGTTTCCCTTGTATATATTCTACATTATATTTGTTTTCATGGAATAAATTTTCTTTCTGTGAAATCCATTTGCTGTAAAAAAAAATTGTGAAATTATTTGAAAAAAATATTTGTGTCAATTCCAGATTTGCTTTAGTGTATGGTGAATGTTAAGTTATATTGTAATGACAGGAAGAAAATATTTTGTAATGGTTAGCATGAATTTAGCATTTTTATAAGTAAGTATAAGAAAAGGTCATTTTTTAAGGTTATAGTTAATTTGAGTATATCTTGTTTTTATTATATTCAAGTTATGACCAATTCTTATGTACTGTCTTAAATAGGACATCAGCGCCTACAACACACGTCTGATGAAAACTGTTGATGACAAACAAAAGGTCACTTATGAGGTCAGGTTAGCCTCGGCAAAAGCCACATCTGAAGGTGAGTATTGCATTCCTTTATTTTTTGTAGGAAAAAATGAAATTAAAGGCTACTGTATATGTCTAATTGTGTTTAAGCTTGTCTTGAGATCAGTCAATGTTGGTACAGTACAAGAAGAGGTGAAAATAGAGTTAAAACACAATTCTTGAAGATTTGTGTCTTTTGCCGGTACCTTCATTTTTGCTTCATTTCATTTTACTCCCTGCCAATCTTACTGTTTTCTGTATGCTGTTGGTTGTTTAATTGCAGATTTTAATCAATTTCAATATGTTGTGTGTTTAATCAGATGGAGACTGTGATATCAAGTTTGGATCATATGAGTTTGAAGGAACAACCTTCAATGTGACGAGGGGGGATTATAGCCCCCTCATGGCTGGTGTCGCAGACAACCTCAACAGAGCAAAGGTAATGGGAATGAGTATCATTAGTTTAAGATGTATTCAAAATGAGGGATGACCTCTTCTCACTACAGAGTCAACTTGGAACTGTATGTCCCATTTCTCATGAATGTGATAGCTGATATTATACAACTCACTCCCAGATCCTAATCAAATGATTGGTCATACGCTTGTACATGATGCGCAGTAGTGCGCGGAAAGGTTAGAGCGCTTATACTGCGTGTGGGCCTATTCTTGCGCAGCAGTATGCGTAAACGCGTATAGAGGTAAGTGCGCTTATGTATGTGTGAGCACTAAATTAAGCCTATTAATCATGAGATTTATTTGTCAGCCATACTACTGTCACAAAACAATCTTGAATGAAATCTTTTTATATCAAATAACAAGGAATTAGGAGTTTCGTAGTATAAAACAAATGATGCATGTTTTCATTCGTTCATTATACGATCTATCTACCCTCGTTGATGCTGTGTGTATCTATGTCACTCAACCTAACGGCTTCGTGCAATAGATACACACAGCCTCAACTCGAGTACGGATAGATCGTATAATGAATTTGTATACCTGTAAAGGAGAGGAGGGACTATCAGTGCAAACCTATGGAAGGTGTGAAATTTTGTTTGCCTATGAAGTTACCCCATATTGTAAGGTCATTAATGAATCATTATGAAACTTCTTCTTACAAATCCCTTCTGAACTACTGAATTCATTTTACGCGTCGACCTTGACACCACAATTGGTGCCGAAATAATTTGTTTACTGGTTGACTTTGCACCTTAATATTTCAGATGAACCTCAGACCAGGCGCGGATCCAGGATTTCTTAGGGGAGGGGGCCCAACTTTTCATTTTTTGCTCCCGAAAATTTGAAAATCGCGCCGGCCGAAAAGTCGCTCAGTGGGGGGGGGGGGGGGGTGTACAGAGCACAATTTTTTTTTTTTTTTTTTTTTTTTTTTTTGCTCCCGAAAATTTGAAAAACGCGCCGGCCAAAAATTCTTTCAGTGGGGGGGGGGGGGGGGGGGGGGGGGGGGGGGGGGGGGGGGGTGAGCACATTTTTTTTTTTTTGATCCTCAAAATTTTTTTCGATTTGCACCCCCCCCCCCCCTTGAGCGCCAGGGGGGGGGGGGCCCAACCCCCCCAAAAGGTAAATATCACGTGATTTTACATGATTTTTTTCTCAAGGGGGGGGGGGGGGGCCGGGCCCCCCCCCCTGGATCCGCCACTGCCTCAGACTATTAAGTTCACTGCCCTACGGAGATATCTTAAAAATCATTTGGTAGATGAACATCAAACTTTGCACCAGTGACCAGTGTCATTATAATTCATATAACGAGACTTTAGCTTCACTGTATGTTTGTTACTACATGTTATGCTTTGTGTCTGATCTTTAAGTCTGATACTAACACACACGTTCATGTTATTTGAACAGGATTTTGCGGCCAATGGTAATGAGAGTGAGATGATGGCTAACTATGTCAAGAGCTTCAGCACTGGATCCATAGAAGCACACAAAGAAGGCTCCAGATACTGGATCAAAGATAAGGGACCCATTGTAGAAACGTGAGTCAACACTAAGCAGTTTAAATACTTCCTAGACATATTACGTGATGTGTCTTTAAATGTTTTGTAAATATTGTTTAATTCAGTCCCCCTGCTGCAGTGCAATGGTTTCTCATGAATCATACCATTGTTGTGATAAAATTTGTATTTAGCAAGATGCAAAGCTGATCCTAAAATCAATTTAAAATGCTGTGTTTGAAGATTTTTTTGAAAGACTAATGCTGCTGTAAGAGGCACACAAGCTCATTGCAGAAAGCTGTTCATCAAGATAAAGAGATTACCTTCAATACGTTTGACAGAGATGCCAACCAGTACGATTAAATTGTATTTAGTATGATATTAAGAGTGAAATACGATAATACGATATCACCTTTTTATTATAAAAAACGTAAAAACTGTGGAATCGCATAGAAACATGTACAAGTAAATCCCTGCAACCCCAACAAAAACTTTGCTTTACATTTTTCTCTTTAAATTTTAATGAAAGAGCTTACATTTTTCGGAAATTTTACTGGCCCGGGGTAGTGTAGAGTTTCGTGAAAATCTGATTTTTCTCCCCCAAATCTGATTTTTGTCTTGCCTGCGTAGCAAAAAGCGAGACATAGGCGCCGCTTTTCCGGTGACGGCGACGGTGACGGCGACGGCGGCGGCGGTGGCGACGGCGGCGGCGGCATCAACATCGAAAACTTAACCTAAGGTTAAGTTTTTGAATTTTTGATATAATTTTGAAAGTATAAGTTCTTAGTCAATGAAACTTGGACTATAGGGTTATCAAGTCTCCCCAATCATGTGAGTAGAATTTCAGGTCACTAAGTTAAGGTCAAAGGTCATTTAAGGTCAACAAACTTAGACTTTGTTGTGGCATCAACATCAAGATTTTCAAAATGCTTCTCCTTCGTTATTTTTCAACCGATTTTGATTCTGATTATTTCATATGATAGGGCTAGGAGGGGGATTTAAAATTTCTACACAGAATCGTGAAATTCATTATCTATGCTAATTTATGCAAATTTATTCAAAATCACAAAAAATGCTTCTTCTCCTTCATTTCTCGACCGATTTTGATTTGGTTTGCTTTATCTGGTAGAGCTAACTTTGGTTCACTAAACTTCTACACCGAATTTTGAAATTGTTCTCCATTAATTAATTATGGTAATTTATGCAAATTTATTCCAAAAATTAAAAAAAATTGCTTCTTCTCCCTCATTTCTTGACCGATTTTGATTTGGTTTGCCTTATCTGGTAGAGCTAAATTTGGAACACTAAACTTCTACACAGAATTTTGAGATTTTGCTCCATTGATTATTTATGGTGCTTTATGCAAATGAAATGAAATTATGTCCCTTCCAGGGCATCAAATTTTTATTTTTTGACCAGTTCAAAAGTGTACCACATAAAATTTACGATATTTGTTGTCGCGAGATGTGGATGAGTGCTACGTCATTGACGTTCTGGTTTATCATATTGAATTGCGTTATGCAGGCGAGACAGCCGAGAGCATTTCCCTTGTTTAGTATATTCGGTCTATTTTTTGTGTCAAGAGGTTGGCTTCTCTGGTTTGAAGACATAACAGAGAAATCAATGAAATGATGCAACAGTGGAATACGTGTACGTGTACATGAATGAATGAATGTATGATGTTAGTGTTCTTCTTGTTTCTCCTTTTTCCATCTAGATACATTGGTTTCATTGAGAGTTATCGGGATCCCTTTGGAGTAAGAGGAGAATGGGAAGGTAATTGTTATGAAGAATTTTTGGTAGTTTGATTTAATTTTCTCTTCTTTTCATTGTTATTTAAGATGTGTGTAATTCCAGCAAACAATTATAGTATGAGAGAAAGAGAGCTGTGTACAATATTTGCAATCACAAAAATTCGCTACTTGGAGAAGGCCTATCTGCAGAGTAATTACATTGTAAGTCGTTTGCATTTTATATAATCATATGCAATGTCATGCTCACTTTCCATAAAGAAAAGTGACCAGTACAACATCCCCATCTTTTGTTACAGGCTTTGTTGCCATGGTGAACAAGGAGATGAGTGCTAAGTTTACTGACCTGGTAGAGAATGCCGAGAATCTTCTCCCTCTTTTGCCATGGCCCAAGGAATACGAGAAAGACACGTTCCTCAGACCTGACTTCACATCCCTGGATGTCTTGAGTTTTGCATCGTCAGGAATACCAGCAGGCATCAACATTCCAAACTGTGAGGCTCTAAGAAGTATTCTCTAGGAGCATTAGAATAGAATTACTGTGTCCTGTAGTATTCATTTTGACTCAATTTCGCATATGATTTGAGGCTTTTGCATGGTATGGACTTTTAAAAACAATACTGAACTGTTTGATAAAAAAATAGGTAGTGAAGTGTTATGGACTAAATACAATATGAATTGTATCTATATAATCTGAAATTTAAGAAAAGAGGTTTGAATGTGTAGTGAGTCACATTCAGCGAAAACGGTTTTATATTTCAATACTCAGAATGGATCCTGTTTTTTGGCAGATACTTGTTTCTAAGCAATGTTGAGCTTAGACTTTATTATAGAGATTGATGCATTTGAACTCCAAATCACACATTTTTTTTTAACTTTTCTATTTCTCCAGATGATGACATTCGTCAGGATGAAGGATTTAAGAATGTATCTCTAGGCAATGTGCTGTCTGCTTACGGTAAAGATCAGACGATCACCTTCTTGACAGATACAGACAAGGTGAGTGACCTTTAAGGTTGTGAATGTCACTCGGTCTAAATTGGTAAATCTGTATACCTCTTAACAAGTTTCTGATTAAAAAGAACAAAAGATATTGATTTCTCTTCGTCTTCGTCTCTTAAAAAAACATGTTCCTTCCATCACTTGTGTAGTCAAACGCCCCGTTACAATGCCACAAAACCCATATTGTCTGTTTATGTACTCTGCTTGAGAAGCTGTTTTCCTACCCCACATCAAGAGGTTAAAGACTGTATCGAAACTGAAAAACTGAAATGGATGAATTATATATCAACGGAAAGTTTATAAGCCGTAGATAACAATAATATCAATTATATGCCATTTTAGTGTCTTTCAGAGGAGTATCAGCTCTTTGAAAACTCAAAACTTAAAGCTCTGAAAATTGGAAGTTGTCAACCTAAAAACTTGCTATCGACTTCTTATTCTTCTTCTTTGTCATGATATGCCTCCTTCACTCCTGAAGATTCTTGCAGATGAAAGGGGGGTGTGTGTGTCACAAAGGACATGAAGTGCTGAGTGTCCTATTTACATAAGGTGCAAGTAAAACATTTTGCTAGTCTGGTTTTGGGTTTAGCCACTGCGCATTTCATCAGTTGTTGACGAAATGCTTCTACCAATGGAGCCTTTACTACGTCCATTGGTAAGAGAGTTCCATGCACGCAAGGTCCTCGGGAAGAATGACTGTATGTGTTGTTCAGTTCTGGACCTGGGGAGCTGGTACCCATCAGCGTGAACTGTCCTTGATGGTCTTGTCACAGGAGTGATGTGGTTTGTTGGGTCAAATTCCACAGTCTCATTGTGGATTTTGTAGAAGAGGGCTAGTGTAGAGTGCTCTCTACGGGTCTGCTGAGAAGGCCATCCCAGTTGTCTGATCATATCTCCAACGCTTGATGTGTTATGGTAGTGATGAAGGACAAATCTGGCGATGTGTCTTTGGACCATTTCCAACTGGTCAATGGATCTTTGGCAGAAGGGTCCCATACTGCACTTCCATACTCCGTTAATGGATGAACGAGGGCCTTGCACGCCAGGGTCTTTAGTGCAGGAGAGTTAATCTTTGATTTCTCTTGAGGAAAACAAGGGTGTTGTTTGCTTTCTGGCAAGTGCCGGCGATGTGCTGATTCCACTTCAGGTCCCTTGTGATGGTGATGCCCAGGTACTTGGTGGGTGTCACAGAGTCCAGAGCAACACCATTCATTGAGTTCTTTTCCTAGTGACAGTGATGACCTGGCATTTTGGGTGTTTAGTTCCATCTTTCAGTCTGAAGCCCAGTTACCTAGTGCATTCAGATCTTCTTGAAGGCTATTTGCATTTTTTGTGTCTGGATGGTCAGATACATGTTATCGTCATCAGCAAAGAGCCTGACAGTTCAGGACATCTTGTCTGGCAAGTCGTTAATGTTGAAGAGGAAGAGGCACGGGCCAAGGAATGAGCCCTGTGGGACTCCTGAATCTGCTTCCACTCTGCGGACTGAGACCCATCGAGAACAACTCTCTGCTTTCTATTGCTGAAGAAGTTGGCTATCCATCTGTTGTTCTGCCCTCGTATCCCATAGTGGTGTAATTTCTGCAGAAGCCTCTGGTGTCCAACTTTATCAAAGGCTTTGCTGAAGTCTGTGATGATGACATCAGTCTGCTTGTTCTCTTCCATGTTGTTTGTGAGGTCGCTGATGAAGCCAAGCAGCTGGAGCTCCCATGATCTTTTCTGACTGAATCCATGTTACAGAGAGTAAAGGATGTCATTGTCATTCCCGTGAGACATGATGTTGCTTGAGATAATGTGTTCCCATCAACTTGCATGTTATCAACGTGAGGGATGTGGGGCGATAGTTTCCTGGATGTGTCTTGTTACCTTTCTTGTAGATGGGCACTACGTTTGCATGTCTCCAACCGTCAGGCACCTCACCATCACATATGATCGTCTGAATAACATGCATAGGATGGGAGCAATGGTGTTTGCCAGCGTTTTCATGACTCGTGGTGTAATGCCATCAGGGCCTGGAGCTTTCAGGTTATTTAGCATCTGCTTTAGCCCTGCTATTGTTATTTCGATGTCAGGCATGTCTTCATAGGGAGAAGAAAATGGCAATAAATTGAGAGGAATGGGTGTTTCCTTGACGAAGACTTTCTTGAAGTGACCATTCAAGATATTAGCATTTGCAGCAGGGTCTGAGATGGGTTTACCTTCAGCTTTCAGCACAGGAATATGACTGCTGTCAGATCTGTTGTACAGTACAGTACACAAATCGCCAGAATCTGTTCATTCCTTCCAATTTATTGTTTTCATCATCATCATCATCAGGTGTGAAGATAGATTCCACATAGTTCCAGTATGCCCTTCTTGCCTCACTCTGGATTTGGCGTTTCAAAGATCCAATCTTCTCTTCCAATTCGTATGGAACAGGTCCATTCACTCTTTTCCGGGTAGCCTTGCACTTCATGCTCAATCTGTCTCTTTTCTTCATGAGCCGTCTAATCTTGTTGGTGATCCATGGAAGAAAAGACTTGTGGGCTGCAAGACTTTTGGGGGATGTGCAACTGTATCCCTCTTTTCATTCCACTGTTGATGGCAGTCCACAGATCATTGATAGTTGCACTGTCTGCCTTCGTCTGCAACTTGATGACATCTTATAGTACGCATATTCACAATGACTTTGCATTAATTAAGCATGGCCCATCGCCTCAGCGAATAAGGTGGACCGATCGGGTCCACATGTTATATCGTCCCTGTAACTTCAGGAAATTTACTCCTGTTGACCCGTAATTTGGAGGGGTGCGGAAAATGAGGTTTTAATTTGCTTTTGTGCAATAATGAAAGGGTAAATACTTTTTATTCCTTTATATTTGTATTCTACATTCATTCAGTTTTCCGTTTATATCAAGTTATATTTTCATTGGATAGGGCCTTTAGTTGTTCCTTTTATCAATGATTATTAAAGAATACTTTATTTGACATCTAACCTCCTGTTACAGGGATCGTTTAACAATGTTAAATCTGAGATACACGGCCTACATGTTATCAGTGTCTGTGATATGGTGTAATATTGAAGCCCTAAAAAAATCCCGCTTCAAAATGATCAAGAAGTGCCTCAAAAAAGTAAAAATCCGAGTGAGTGACCGGTTTTACCATACTCGTTTTCCCCAATAGACTGCAGTGTAATGATAACCATTCGGCGAACGGTTTTCAAAATTTGTAATTCCAATCATAAATATCTTGATAATCAGACAGGCGATCGGCTTGTGAAAGTCACGGAGCTCCTAACTGACCTAAAGCTTTAAAATTATCATTGCAACATGAGCTAAATCCAGAATTTTGTTTAAGAATCTGAGACAAAGTTACCCAATCCCTTTAAGTAATATTAAGTGTGTATGTGATATATTATGTACAGCATATGAAGAAAGACATGTTCAGTGTATCTGAAAGTTTTCTCTTTCTCTACTCCTCTTGTGTTATTTGTAGGAATTGTACAAGAAGCTAAAAGGTCCGTCCTTTGAGGTCCAGGTTGGTCTTCATGAGCTGCTGGGTCATGGCAGTGGAAAACTCTTTATGAAAGACAACAAAGGACAGTTCAACTTTGATACAGAAACTGTGAAGCACACTGAGACAGGGGAGAAGGTAAACAACTCTCAGAACTTTCTTTTTTTGTCATCATTTTTTCGATAGGGCTAATATTAAATAAGTGATATCATTGCATTCTGAAGAGTATCGAGTAGAGCAGTTTGCTAACCCTTCAAAAATATGGTCAAGTGAGCTGAACTCTCAAAGAGACCTCCTCGTTATAAACAAAATCTTCAATGTCAGGCTACTCTATTGTGTAATAATGAACAATTGAAATCAAACAAGCAGGAAGTTTGATTTGTTGTCATTTTTTTGCATTGTATGTGCAGTTATCAGCAAAATGCGTAGTTCAAGAGATCGATAGCCTAGTCATTGTGGAATCCCTTAAATAATAAAAAAAAAATAATAATAATAGTAATAAAAACGTTACTTATAAAGCGCTTACCACCAAAGTCTCTAAGCGCTATACACACAAAATAGACTGTTATACAATTACATCTTATACAAAACTAAAAATGCAAATAAACATACAAATTACGATACCTATGGAATACACATACAAAAGGCATCTGAATGTCATGCATTAAGATATTGATGAATTCTCTGTCTTGGTATTTTGTTATTGAATGTTGTAGATCTCATCATGGTACATGCCAGGAGAGGTTTGGGATTCCAAGTTTCCTGTGATTGCCTCACCTTATGAAGAATGTAGAGCAGAGTGTGTAGGAATCTACCTGTCTCTCTCAAGAGAGGCTCTCAAGTAAGCACAACTTAATCAACCTATATTAAGTAAATATTGATGTTGACTGAGAAATGTTGCTATAGCAAATACAGATTTTTGAATTTCCTGTGATCCCAAGTATCACAAACTTGCTCAAAGTAAAATTCATGCCTCTGGATTACTTTGAATGGATTCTTGGCAGACATAGTTTGCCTAAAGTGAGAAAGCCTATTGAAATATAATGAAAAGTAGCATTTTGAATTCTGTGAATGAAAGGCCACTGAAGCATTGGGCCATTTGTGACAAGGCATAAGGGTGGCATTGAGATGGTACTTTTTATCTTGCTCTTAACTTTCACAACTGTCAACTGATCTTATCATTTCAAATGAGATTTTAGAGATTATAACAGTCCATGATATTAGAATATTAGCCTCGTTCTAATGCATCAAAGGAGGCAGATAATCTTATTCAAGAATGTTATATATGTATGTAAGTGGGGAAAACAATTAAAAAAAAACATAGCCAGGGATATGCATGGATATGAGGGTACTGTAGACAATGGGGTGGTATTCTCGTAAGTTAAGCCAGGACTAAGTCCAGACTAAACAAGAATTTTAGTTCACACTTCTATGGAATGCTAAGTTTCATCTTCCTCCTTCAATATTCATGACGAAGATAATCTACCAAAGACTTTGTTTAAATTCAGTTCATACTCATATTATCTTTTTCTTCCCATTTCATTGCAAGATTAATATTTGGGACACTTTTCATTGAAGGATTAAAATAATCTGTACAGGGTAAATGAGTTGGCAACAGGCACTCCATAAAAGTGTGGACTAAATTAGTACGCGCTACCGGAACACCACCCAATGGCATCCTTTATGTTATCCCAGTGCAGACTTGTATCTGATTATAATATTGAGTGATATTCAAACTTGTGTACAGGATCTTTGGACATGAAGGCTCTGCAGCAGATGACATCCTGTATGTCAACTGGCTTAACATGGTGAGAGCTGGTATCCTTGGTCTCGAGTTCTTCACACCAGAATCCAAAACATGGCGACAGGTAGGTCATACAGATTCCTCTGCATTTGTAAAAGACACAAACACACATACTATTGAAATGTTGATTCATAAACGTGAAGGGAATCTTAAATAGCAGAGTTTGTATATATGTAGGTACCCTAGGACAGATTTCACATTGCTCATAAAGGATATAGGGGAGGGGGCAGTCTGTACTATTGAGAGATGGTCTTTTATTTAAGGCAATTTCACAATAGAGCAGTTCAGATATGAATAGTAACTGTGTCCCAAATATAACAGGATTAACCAGAACAAAACAGAAATTAAGTAACTTTGATTTAATTCTATGTACTGTTCCAGGAAACTCTTTTCAGTTCGGGACATAAACAGTAATCACCTTAGACTCGCTGTATAGTACATATCTAGCACATACATTTAATGTGCGGTTCAGTTTTTATTAAAAAGCACATATTTGATGTTAGTTACATTAAATAGTGAGCTTTATATATTGTTGGTATATTGATAATCTGCCAATAAAGATATTAGCTATGTGATTGTTGTTTCTTTAGGCTCATATGCAGGCACGCTTTGTCATCTTGAGAGTGCTGGTAGAGGCGGGGCAAGGCCTAGTAACCATCACCAGGACAACAGGAGATGATGGGAAGCCTGATGTCATCATTCAAATTGACCGGACCAAGATCGAGACAGTAGGCAAGGAGGCCATTGGCAACTTCCTCAGGAAACTGCAGGTATATGCCGTTTGTCATCTATTGTATGTCATATCTAAGGTTTACTTTTAAAGAACTGTCCATGATTGATCTGTAGAGGGACATCTTACAGATTTTCCAAATCCTTTATACAAGCATTTACAGAACTATTTAGATTCCTTTTTTCTTATTGAATATGGTACAGATTGATTTAATGACTTTTCTTCCAGTGAAAGGGCTTGTACGGTATCCATTTTGCAGGCATGAAATATAAACTTGCCAAAATAATACTTTATTTACATGGAAAGGAACCACCATTTGATAATCAGAATATGGGCTGAAAATTTCCTTTTGCAAAGTGAATCAGAAAAGAGGTCATCTTCAATTCCATACAAATAGATTTTTTTTTAAAGAGGAAAACAGATAAATCAAAATTTGAAATTTACTGTATTTTTGTGTTTTAGGTGTACAAATCCACTGGAGATTATACCTCGGGCAGAGCCATGTTTGATGGCTACTCGGCAGTCAATGATGACTCAGCAGAGAAGTTCCTGTCCCTACGTCAGACGGTCCTTGATCGCAAGCAACCCAGGCGCATGTTTGTGCAATGCAATACGTCCATTGGATCTGGTGAGAATGATGATGATGATTCAAAATTGATGTAAAACTGTATTATTGGGGTCATGTGGCTGTAAATGTGTTTGAACATCAATTTTGATGCCATGAGAATTTCTATGGGGTATACATATTTGTTCCGAATTCATAATTACAGGTGGTGTTTACTTTTTGGTGTAATAAGTACAAATATGTATGTAGATTTCTGGTATTAGTAGACATCATTTCACTTCAAGTTATAAACCAGATGAAAAGTTGGCTCTATGATATGATGCCTTGTGTGTGATCCTCATTGTCCTTTTGGACAGTTATTTACTGAATCAAAGACGCACCGTTTTGTTGTTGTTTACTTTTTATAATTAGAAATATGAAATTCAATTAATTGCAATTATACCTTGGCTGCCTAAATTATATCAACTTTGGTCACTACTTAAGAATAAGAATGGTAGGCAACAGCAATCTTTTTGCATTGATCAGGGTATTTTAACCCCTTGCCTCCTGTAACAAGCGGGTTTCTTGTATTAATCCTATGGGGAATATGAGAATTCAGTAATCAGTGGGTTCAAAGTCTATCAATTACTTTGCATCAGGATCACTTTTCTTGACCTGTCTCGCCATAATAATGAAATGATAAGACGACAGTGGCGCCAAACTGGTACTAAAAGTTTTTAGAAAAATGAGAGGAAGTTTTTTAACTGCAACATCATGTATTTCTCTACTCTCTTAGATGGTGAGGTTGCCCTCCACGAGTATGAGGCATCTGCAGCAGGCATCATCCAGTCTTTCGTTGATAGGTACAACAGAGAGGATGTTGAGAGGAACGTCAGGGATCTATGGGAGAAAGACCAAGTACACTTCCCATCTGTACAATAATGTTTGGATTCAACATTGAATAAAGCCTTCACAGATTGAAGTAGTGTGATGTTGATTAGATCAGGGCTTCTCAGCCTTTTTTATCTCGATGCCCACTCTGGCTGTTATACAATTTTTTTGAGGCCCCCCCTAGCAAAAACTTAATGAGGAAAAAAATGACATTAAAATGTCACACAAGAAAAATTGAGAACCAATAATGTGGGGATTATTTGTGTTGTATCACTGTCCGTTGTAATTCCACTAGTACTCTATTTACCCCCATTTCGTAAAGACATAAAGCTTTGCTGAATTCTAGCTGTGTCATCATCACGTAAGATCAGACATGTTTTTTTTAATTTTATTCAATTTTGACAGAACTTCAGAGGGATGTGGCCCACCGGTTGAGAAGTGCTTGATTAAATCATAGTCTAGATAAACAGACCTCTCAATGAGAGAAAGTTAGGAGCAGATTTGTCTCATTCATCAACACTCTATGTAATGTCATTTGTACTTCGCTTTCCTGTCAAACAGCTTCCCTATTAAAGTCATTGTCTCTGAAATTAACTTGATTTGTATATTGGCAGAAGAATGGGAGAAACAGATCATTGAAAGTTTGAGAAAAGTCCAGTAACAGTGATAATCAATGAAACACAAATTGGCAACTCTGTTGCCAAATTCTACGGGTCTCGCTCTTTTCAGGTGGGGGGGGGGGGGGGGGGGGGGGGCTTAAAGGGTAATCAAGTATCCCAACTTCAGGTCACAAAGTCAAGGTCAAAGGTCATTTCAGGTCAACAAACTTAGACTTTGTTGTTGCATCAACATCAAGATTTTGAATTTTTAGCATAATTTCATAAGTGTTACGAAACTTGTACCCAAGGATTATCAAGTATCACAAATCACATGACACAAATTCCAGGTCACAAAGTTAAGATCAAGATCAAAACTTTACTTTATCATATTGCCTGTAGTCTGAATATGTTATTGGACATGTGTTTCTATACAATCCCTCTTTGGAATAGATCTACTCCTTCAACATCAACAAAAGGGGGATATTTCTGATAATTCCCAGTACAAAACAAATGGAGAGGTGCTTGCAAGGAAAATCATATACCGGTGGTTGCCGATTTATTTTTGATGGATTATAAGTTCATAACTTTAAAAATTCACAGCTTTTTGTCTTTTATATTGAGGTTAATTGAATCGTTTCTATAAATTTCTGCTTTTAGTGAAACCGACAGGATATCAACATAGACTTTTCTTTCAATTATTTGGGTAGTATTCCATATACTTTTCAACAAACATTCTGGTCTTTTAAATTAAATTGTTATTTGTTAATATGCCTGTTTTTGTCCATGTACATTAAAGTCCCCTGGGTTTGTATTTTCTGAAATAGTTTATAAATTGCAGAATGTTGAAGTCAAACTTGTAAAAATTATCTGTATAGTGTCCTTCATCTAAGTAAAGAGTGTCATTGGTGTATATGGAATATACATTTCGATTTAATTGAAAACAATGTCACTTTTCTGCTATGACATGATGCAGTGATGAAAAAAATCCTGGATTAGAATCCAAAACATCTTGGTCATAATAGAAAAATGCAATGTTCTAAACAAGTCCATAAAATATTTTAGTTTTTCATGACAATATAATTTGTTTGTTTCTTCAAACCTGTTCTCACTGTGTACACCTACGAATATCAGAGTAAATCTCCTGCTTTATATTTGTTCAGTTTATGTGTTTGCATCGGACGGGAAGTTGCATATTGAATATTTTCAAATTCCAATACAATGCTGTGAATATGTATTATGTATGTTTGGTAAAAAAAATATTGCTAATCTACACCAACCTATTTATTTGTTGGCAGTCTTGTGATTTCATTCCAAAGGTTCAGGTTTGGTGATTATTGATTCTTGCAATCTAAATTTAATGTTTTTATCAGTGCCTTTTGGAATGTGTAGATCTGTAGACTTATTAAAAAGGTTCACATAACTTTATTTATAATAATGCATTTGAAAACCTTGATTTGTCAAAACTTCTCTTTTGCACATTATTGTTAGCTTGGTTGTGCATTGTGATGGCTAACCTGTGTAAGGCCATGATATTACTTATTCATAGGAACAGTTGTTGAGCGCCCAGAGTGTCAAGTCTGACAGACACGAGTACCATACAAGAACACACCATTATTATTATATTTTTAGGTTATACCGTAATGCTGATCTGTGACAAATTTCATGATGTTTGTATTTTCTTGCATACAAAAAAGGGAGACAGTTCCTTTAAGCTGTTGAAAATTTGAGATGAATGCCAAACAAGATTTAGCAATCGATTCAAGTTCCACATGTATGTACACCATTGAGTGACAAAGAAAGAATAAGAGTTCTGCATTGTGTGGATAAACAATACATCCGTTTGTTCCAACGACCCTATGTTCTGGCATAAGCTACAACACAGGCTAGACTCATCTATCATTATCTATCAGCCTAAGTAAAATGTCACAGTTTGTTCAACTCAATGAAAAAAGTGTCTGCACTTACTGGTTTAATTTGAAACATAACCCTAATGTGCTATGCTATCAAGAGCTGAACACCAATTCTTCAGAATTTCCATGTACCGTAGTTTTTATGCAATAAAATGAAAGAGACTTGATCATGAAAATCTGTGAAGTGTATTTGTCTTTGGAATGTCAATAAATGATGATAAATAATAATGGGGAAAGATAGCAACTAAATGCAGTTTTACAGGGTTTTTTTCCTGTTTTTTTTACTTAAGGGCCACTCCAACCAAAACAGGCTAAACAAATTTTTGATGGAGATTCCGAATATGACAAAAAAATTTGTTAAAAATCATCAATAATTCTGGAATCTAGCTTTAAAAATGATGACTCAGAACGCTCAGAAAAAAAAAAGCAGTTTCGGAGCTGTATTGCACAATAGCATACAACGTCACTGCAGGACCCTCTCCGGTGAAAAGAAGGGTGATTCAGGCATTAAAATGTCTTTAAAAAGGTAAACTATGATATTAATTGAGAAAGAAAGACATTTAAGATAATAAAATAATATGCACCTGATAATCCCAGTACGTTTCTGGCAATTTTGTCATTCCTAATTACAAAATTATCAAATCGGACATGCCCGCAATGACGTCAAATACGTCATCAAGCCACGTGACCGTATTTCCTTTTTTCTGTGAAAAATGGATGGTTATCATTTTTTGGTCAATTTAGAGATTTTCTGAAAAATATTAATATTAATAAGTATAGGTGTTTTCATGTTTTAAAAGGCTATGTTAGTTGGGTTAGAGTGGCCCTTTAAGTTGTCAGTTTATATAGTTTGTATTCTCAACAATTACAGACATCTCGTATTCAAATTTTATGGAATATTTTCTACACAATAGTTACACAAGATACAATTTAGATTAGTTTTAATGAATCCTATGCACTACTCCATATTCCTGTTGAACAAAAGCTTTTTGACAACTGCTGTGTTAGGGTCAAGAAACTTGCAGGAAATGCAAAAATTGAGTTTTTTGATTCAATCTTTTTTAACAATTGCTTTTTTGGGGGGAGGGGTGGCAGAAAACAATTCACCCCATTATGTTTTCTGCATTACATTGCTGCCTAAACAAAACGCATCAATATATTTGTCATTTTAAAGTAAACCCCAACGTTAAAATCGCACCCTGTACCTTTAATATGACAATGTACTTGTTATGGTACATGATAAATAAGTGTTGCATACTACTATCCCTAAATGCCATCTCATAGTAAGTAGGAAGTACCTTATGGCCAGATTAAGGAACTAAAAACGTTTTTAAAGGGACTTGGTAAAATTGTTCAGATAAGAGAAAATGGTGCTAAAGTAGCGACTTCAATGCTAGATGTACAATTAAAGATTATCTGAAATTTGGAGTGAAAGCAGACTATTATTAATAATAATAATAATAATACTCAGTTTTTATATAGTGCCTATTACAATCACTAAGCACTTCCAAACTTGGAGATTAGTGACAAAAATTGGGAAAACTGATCTGATCAATTCCTTAATTCTCCCAACTATATTATTACAATTTAATTACATTTTAGGTGAATGTAAATCGTCTCAAAGCAATGAGTTGGCTCTATATACCATTTGATGACATTTGAGTGTTGAAAGATTTTTTTTTTAAAGCCTGTCTTATGAGAATTATAAGAATTACTATCCATCCAATTTTCAAAATATCCCAAAACTGTGCATTACCTTTAAGGTAAAAATAAGAGTTTATGAATTTTATGTTTACAAAAGCCTTTTGCTAAATTAATAACCTTTTCAAATTGCATTTAGGAAATGCACCTACACTTTCTTTCTAATGTTTTTGTTATGGGGTTGGGTGCTAACATGTACATCTAACTTGACTTTTTTCATAATGCCATTCATAACAGTTTTAAATAAATTGATTTTGCATTATTACCCAAAATATGTTACTGTACCTTTAATTAGCAGTGAAATACCAAAAACCTCCTAAAACTTGTTTAACACATACTGGAGAGAACAGTTGATTGTAAAAAATTTGTCTCCTGTTCGAGCTGTTATAATATCAGATATTGTTATGACAACTATAGGTGTGTCTTATTATTGATTCCCCGGATCTCTTCATGTCAGTCTAAGCCCCCTACTGACTCACAAGGGTGTGGCTCTACAATGTGGCTTCACCGGATGTAAACATTTCATCAACATGATTGATTCCCCACAGCAGCAGGCTACCCAGTCATTCATGTGCTGTTTATGTAAGTCAGAACGTTCATTTAAAGGGACTACATCATTTTGTTTTAATTTAGTGAGATTTAAGCAATAATACTACACTTCAAACTTTGAATCCATCCTGCATTGAATAAGAATTTCAATACAGATACGTGCACATCCATATGCTTGGTTAAAGGGAAATCCAACTCAAATAGACAGCTAATCTAAAAGAGAGCAGAAAAATCAGAGAAGCAAACTGATGAAAGTTTTAATTAAATCTGACTAAATAATTATAAGAAAGTTATGAATTTTTGAAAGTTGTAATCACTATACGTATGGGAACTTCAAATTGGCTTTAGCGGTAATGTCAATGTGATGTAGTGCCAGACTACTTTCCCATCTGTTCCAACATATAAAATGACTAAAATTTAAATTTTCCAAAAATTCGTGGCTCAGGAGGGTCTATTATTTTTAGAGGACCTACATGTATAATAATATGCTACATAATATAATTTGAGTATTGCCCCAAGGAGAAGGAACATACTAGAAAAACAGGATTTAATGATATTTTTGTACACAGCAAATAGGAGAGGTATCCTCGTCCTACGTCACAATCCACTGACCAGACTACCAATTTGAGATTCGCATAGACTTAGGGATCTCATATTTCAAACATTCATAACTTCCTTACTATTGGTCCGATTCATTTCAAACTTCTGCCATTCTGTTTCTGTTATTTTTCTGCTTTCATACAAAGCAACTTATTACAAGGATTGAATTGCCCTTAATACGTCTTATGCTGCCACATCATTTCTAATTTTGTTCTCTATGAAACTTATTGCTTCTAGAAATCTAAATAAAAAATTACAGAATTATATATATTATATATATAAAACCAAGAAATATTTCCTTATATGGAAAAATTATTGATCAATTTTAGTAATTTTGCATAATCATTTGACAAAAAGTTAACTACCCCATTAAAAATACACACTTTTGGCTATAGATATTGAATGTACCAGTACTTTTTTTTTCATCCAGATTTTGTATACCGGTAGACAAAATTTTACAGTAGGATCATTAGTACCGGTAAATGTTAATCATGAAATGATCAACAGTTTTCACGAAAACTCGACACTACCAATGGCCTGTTGGCCCCGGGCCAGTAAAATTTCAGAAAAATGTTTCACTTGTAAGTACGGTCAAGTAAAATGTTTGCTCTTTCATTAAAATTTAAAGCGAAAATTATGAAGCAAAGTTTTTGTTGTGGTTGAGGGGGTTTCCTTGTACATGTTTCTATAAAATAACTTGTATATGTTTTGTAAATAAAAAGGGGTGGGGGAGGGGATTGTGAATGATAGAAATCAAAGATTAATTACGTGTAAATAGCTTCACACAACTGTTTTTTTCTATAGAAAATGGAAGGTTCTCTATGAAACTTATTGCTTCTAGAAATCTAAATAAAAAAATTACAGAAATCAATAAAATGGATATGTCATTTATTCCCGAACAACTACATTGAAGATGAACACCTGTAATTTACTGTACATGTATGTCATGAGTTGATAAACAAAAATAAGCCCCAACTCTAAAATTTAGAGTGTTCATCATTAATCTTTTTTTACCATGACTAAAAATCAACATCTCATTTTCAAATATTTTGATTTAGGAATTCTAGATGCATTTACATGCAATTAAAGAAATCCAACAAGTTAATAAATACATGAGTCTATTGAGTTTACACTTTAAAAAAAAGGAAGATTTCTTATTTCTTATCTGATGTACTGTATGTAAATATTCCAGGGTACAATACATAAATTACATTCCCGACTCTAAATGCTGGATTAGTTAAGATTTTTTTAGATTTTATATAATATTTCATGCCTGAAAGCAAACTTTTTTTTTCTTCAGGATAACAACAGAAAAATATTCCATATTAGAATCAACCAAAAGTGCTCTCTTCCTTCGTTTTTGTCTCAGTTTAGCCAATATCAAAACAGGGAGTAAATATACACAATTACACATTAACTTTATACACTTTAAATACATTGCACATTCCAAATTTGGAATCTGTAGTCCAATTGTGATTTCATCTTAGGCCATTAATATTATCAATCAAATTTCATAGCATGATGGCACAATTTATAAAATCTGGCAGAATACCAGATCTGATACATTGCAGTTGCTGATAAATGGGTAACATGAAATTTGGCATATAAAATGTCCATCAATGCTCATGAATTTTCATCTTCAAGAGCTACCCAAAGTTGTTGATAAAAAATTTACTCTGAATGAAATAACTTATACAATATATACTATAACAAATTCATTAATTCTCCAAACTTAAAGTCTAAACCGAATTTGACTTTGACACACCTAACATGGAGATTATATTTCAGTACTCGGGCAGAATACTTTTAATCTCTGTTTATGCCTAGGCTGTGTTGTGTTTAATTACATTTGCGTCATTTTTTGACGGTATATGAATGCACTAAATTTGATCAATTTGAGAAAAAAATAAGAATGGTCAGGCTTAGATTTTGGCTCTTAGTGTCGAGCCCTGCATATATGTATCACCAATACAAGATGAACATTCATGAAAGAAAAGTTGTATGCATGTATGTACTTTCTTTGTTTAAATATTGTATTGCAGATGGGTTGGTTTTATTTCATTATAAACATGTACACAAGTTCCTGAGCAATGCCTGGCTCCAATATGAAGGCCTCATATACATTACCTGCAGATCAAAAATTCATGCCATTTTTCTTGACACCTTGTACATTTAGTATACTACTGCATGTACACAAACACAAAGCAATCTCTACATAAAAAGAGAAATTTGATACGATCATTACGTACTAAAAGAGAAAGAAATCTTTACAATTTTGTCCCCATATAACATGCGAGTTTCTTTTTCTTTCTCTGCCATTACCCATGTTAATGATCATACTGTCTTTTCATTGCACAATTAATTTTTCAATTAATCAAGGGCGGCCTGACACTTAATTGAGTTTTGTTTTCAGACTGCAAATGGCTTTAAAGTGCATGGTTAATGCTCTTATTCTTATTTTTAGTGCCCTTTACAAACCTAAAATTGGTATGAAGGTAATTTTAGACCCCAAAATGTGTGAAATTTAGTCAATACGACCATACCAATTCAGCTTCACTTAAAAAAAAATATATAGTGACCTTTAATTAATTATTTAATCAAAAATAACAATGCATGGGCCGAGTAGTTGTGCGTAATATAACCAACACGAAAATACCAACAAAAAAGCCAACATCGGCATTGGCTGAAATACGACGTAAAAGACGCTATTTTGTTTTTTCAACGGCTTTTTCAAATTATCTAATATTTGTGGTGGTACACAAGTATTAGAAATCGTATATTTATAGATATTTCAGCTCTCTCTGAACTGATTTTGATCAAACAAAGATGATTTTGTCATTTAAATTGTATGTTCTTTCAAATTTGACACTCAGTTTTTCATTATCTCACAAAATAATTATTTTGTGTAGCACCCTCTGCAACAGAACTCAACTATCCCTTTAAACAGGGATGATCTGATGTAACATGAATGCCAACATTCAGTCTGGAGCCCATCTCGTTAAGTAGGTACACTGTACATGTACGATTCGTTGTATATTTGACAAGAAATAAAATAACTCACAAAATCAATCACATGAAACATGTGAGAGACTTAATATTTTAGAGTACCCTTTGAATGAACATTCATCATTAATGTTACTAATATTGTTCAATTTCCTGTCAAATGAAGTAACCGCTAAAGGTATACATTTCAACTTGCCTCCTTAAATTGGAACTAACTAGATGTTTTCATCACTTTAGTATTCTTGAGACAAAACTACAATGTACTATTTTTATAACAATATTGATATAAAACTTCTAACTTAAGATTTTAAGATTTGATAAACCAGCCATATTTTGATATTGGAGTGAAGCAAGTAAACAGTAAAGGCATACAACATGTAATCATCCTTTTTGAAAGAAGTGTTAAAAGCTTCAAATTGAAAATTATATCTAAAACTGAAACAAACATCTGTTGTCACACCTTTTGGGCAAATAATTTAAATTGCACAACCTTACAAATACGGCAAGCCATTGCTTGCATGATTACATGTATTAGGCAAATAGGGGAGGGGGCAAAAATCCAATTTTAGGAGAAAGATTGCCACTCTGTGAATGATCTCTCAGCTAAACATTTTACTGAAACTACTGGTACAATTAATCATAATAAAAAATAAAAACAATTATATGTATGATCTTATACAGTAGGCCTGCGGATGCACCATGTGAGAGAGAGGGAGGATTGAGGAGTCCTCAAAAAGGACTCTCGGTAATCTTTCTTGAAGGTGTGTAGTCCCGATTATTATCTTATGATTATGATCTTGCTAGGTTTTCAATAATTTCGAGGAATAGCACTGTTGGTGAAGTTGCGACTAATACTACAACAGGGTTGTTTCATTGTCTAGAATGGATGTCACAATATATTTTGAGTTGTATTCTTTACCCTTCAGGAGCACTTGAATGTAGCTCAGTTGGGCCTGAATATCTCTTTAGTTTTAATATTGAAGTACCCGGTAGCCCCAGACCTGCCAATCTCTGGAGTTCAAAAACTGTATTCTTTAATCCCGAAAGTTGTATTTTACGGATAAAAGTAGTATTCTTAAAAATAAACATGGACTGTTACGCGATCAATGCCTCTTACAGTTCCTACATACAGGAATTTTTTTTGGTATGGATCATTGGTTGAATATGCATGATTTCGTCACGACTCCAAATTGCCGAAGTAGGATGCTAGTAGGATACTTTACAGGACAGAATGGGCATTTTGCCATTGAAAATGGCACACACACACACACAAAATTGAAGAAAAAAAAAATTGTACAAAATACAACTAAATCATACTGGTTGGCAGGTCTGTAGCCCTATATTCCCAGACAATCACTACAAAACTTCCTCACTGTCACTGTATAAGACATACCATGGCATTAAACTACCAGGTACAAACTTACAAAACTATCATTTTGAAAGAAGCATGGTCTTGCAGGCTTTAAGTTACTTAACAACCATCCTCAAAATGCTAAATACAGTTATCATAGAAAGGGAATGCAAATGAAATAGAAACAAGCAATAAATAAATAGCGAGATGGAATATTTGGAATGTCTTCATTACAACGCAAGAATAAGGCATCAAGAAGGAGGATGAAGCTGTTGTAAAATGCTGTCTATCTCTAGGACAGACTTAATGGTATAGTCTGCTTTGACATAGTCTGAGCTGGGTTGCTTTCCATGTGGATTGATCCACACAGTAGCCAGGACCCTAGCATTAGCTCCACCCTGAATATCGGTCTCCTGACTATCACCCACCATGACGCACTGTGAGGCCTCCACACCAAGCAGTTTACAAGATGTCTTGAAGATGGATGGATGCGGCTTTGGCTCAGGATGGTCTCCGCTGATGACGATCTCATCAAAGAAATCTTCTGCTCCTATCTGGGCAACTTTCTCTCGCTGGACTTGACTATCTCCATTGGTCAGAAGAAGCAATTTATACCTTAGCCGTAAACGCTTCAGTTGGGCCCTCACCTCTTCGTCAAAATACAACCCCTCAAGTCGTAGCTTCTTCCAGAGTTGGTAAACTCGGGCAGCAAACTCTTCATTCTGGTTGGAGTTGAGTGCAGTTTTCCAGAGTTGGGTCCTCCATTCATCTATGGGAATCTTGTTTTCAGGGTCTTTTTCTGCTGATTGTAGCAACTTCCTGAATGTTGAGACTATCTCTTCTGCATTACAGCTTGGAGTTTCTTTCTGGACAAATCTTGCAACCTGCAAATGATGAGATGGACATACATTTATTTAATTAGAAATATTCTAGTAAAGTCTCTTCAATTTATCAAATGGATTTCTGACCAGGTTTTTCATAAGTCATACTGCACTGCTTAAAGTTGGATTACTGACACCGACAGAATGAGTGATCTCTTGTTGAAATTGGGCTCTGTGTTGAAATTCTTGCAGCCGTATTTTAAACTGTTTAATACTGGGCATTGAGCTCAATTTCGACGCATCATAGTCAATCTGTTAAGTGGAACCAATGTATATTAGCCTAGGCGTGACCCATCGCCATCCAACCAGGCCAAGCGGCCCGCGCCGCCCCGACCGGCTAGGCCATGCCATGCCCCTGGTCAGGGCTCAGGCCGTTCGGGTGCGACACAGAAACCCCTGCCCGATCCGAGTTGAGTAGTGGCCCGCGCCACCGGCACGCCAGGCTCGTGTAGACGGCTAGGCCTAGGTTGTATTTGCTTAGAAAAGGGTGTAACCTCTTGTATACACAAACAATAATTACCTGCACAAAGGCATTAGCATCAGATTGTTTCGTCCATATCAAAGTATTGTCTAGGTCGAAAATGACTGCCGCAATTCCCATTTTTAGAGTGCAAAAAAGCATCAGAGTGAGAACAAAAAAATGTATTCGCGATTAAAACTCGACGACTAGCAACAATGACAAAAGTTGGCATACAGAATTATGTGCAGTTTTAGATACGGTGTCAGTGAATGATAAAAAAAGGCTAAACATTTATTGCAGGGAGGGGGGGGGAGGGGGGTGTGAGTTGGTCTAGAGACTATATAGCTCTCTGTTTTTCGCCTTCAAACTGACTAAGGCTGGGCTATATAAGACAACCCCGGTTCGAAACTGAACCACGTCTTTCGGATGATGTTGGTCCTCATACCTAAATCATCATATCTGATTGATACACGTCTGTAAAAATCCAATTCATACATCCATAATAATAAAGAGGAAATAATGATGATAATAATGATGCAAGAGAGAAAGACTGTACGAGTGCGAGTGTCCTTCATTTCATATTCCTCCGGGGCAACCTTTGGTACGTGAGCGGAGGGCTCACGGATCACGTACCAAAGGTTGCCCCAGAGGAATATGTTACAAATAAATACATTTTTAACTGCTTATTATTACTCTTGTGGACACACCCCGGAACACATTAATGATGCCATCCAATTTGAAACTTCCCCCTTGAAAAAGTCCTGAAAATATTGTTACGGGATATAGGGCGATTTTTTTTACTTTTACAACTATATGATGCTATTATTGTTTTCATTTGTTATGAAACATGAGCCATCAAAATGCTCTCTGCCACAGTTTGTCAATGATGATGCAATCATTACAAGAGATTGTATTATGGTGTTTGCCATCAAGACGATCGCAAATACCGTATTAAAATTTTTTTTTATTAAGGGCAATTCAATACCCTAATGTATTTTTTAAATAATTTTCTTAGGTAAAATTCATTACATAGTAGGCCTACATAAAACAGGGGTAAAACAGAAATTAAAAAAAAAGAGATAAAAATACATGGAAACAACATAAGTAATTGAATAATTATGCAACTCCCGCCCCTCGGTGTTATTTAGAGTACGCGTATGCATGTTCCCTCCCTTTAAAAGCCTCCCCCCCCCCCCGTGGTAGTGAGCACTATTTTTTTTAATTTTTTTTTTGCTCCCTAAAATTTGAAAATCGCGCCGACCGATAATTCGCTCAGTGGGGGAGGGGGGGGGGGGGGGGGGGGGTAATGAGAACTATTTTTTTTACTGGTGAACGGCACTTCCAGTTAAAATTTTCTTTTCAAATTTGTCGCAAAGCGCCAGTCAATTACATAATGTACTTGTATTTTCTTCATTAAGTAGAATTTAGAGTATAGATTCCTGGCTGCAGGCGCGCCAGAAGCTGTTTGGGATTTGGGGGGGGGGGGGGGGTAAACATTGGCGTAATGAGCAGAAACGCGTTTTAATTTTTTTTGTTGGGGGGGGGGCAAAAAATGCGTTCCCCCCCCCCCCCAGTGGCAGATCCAAGATGGGGGCCCGGCTCCCCCCCCCCCCCCCGGCAAAAAAAAAAGAAGGAAAAAAAAGAAGGGGAAAAAGAAGGGGAAAAAAAAGGGGGAAAAAAGGAGGAAAAAAAAAAAGGAAATAAAAGGGGAAAGATATCAAAGGTATCAAAATATGCTCATCTGACCGTAATTAATTGCCTAAAACCCTTGACTTCCGGTGGCTCTTCCCCATGGAACCCACCTCGGGCCCCTGGACTTCACGCGAATTAGTGTTCTGCCAGTGTCACAAATAAGGTATAAACATATGCTCATCTGACCGTTATTTATTGCCCCGAATCCCTGAGCTTCCGAGGGCTCCGCCTCCTGGACCCCACGCCAACTCGTGACCTGCAGTGTCACAAATAAGGTATAACATTATGCTAATCTGACGATTATTGATGTATAAACCTCTGAGCTTCTGAGGGCTCCGCCCCCTGATACCAACACCAATTTGTTTTCTGCCAGTGTCACAAATAAGGTATCAAAATATGCTCATCTGACGATAATTTAGTGTATAAAACCCCAAAGCTTCTTGGGGCTCCGCCCCCTGGACCCCACACCAATTCGTGACTTGCCAGTGTCACAAATAAGGTATAAAATATGCACATCTGACGATAATTTAATGTATAAAACCCCTGAGCTTCTGGGGGCTCCGCCCCCTGGACCCAACACCAATTTGTGTCGTGCCAGTTTCACAAATACGCTCAGATAGCAAAATATCTGAGGCCCATCTGGGTTTTGTATGGGCTGACTAAAGCTCACGTGGCCCATACAAAAACCAGATGTATACCAGATGGGCCTTCCCACCAAGAACCCACGCATATGGGCCCCATGTGGCGGATCCAGGGCCCCCCTTGAAATAAAATCATGTAAAAACACATGATTTTTTATTTTTTTGGGGCGTTGGACCCCCCCCCCCTGGCGCTCAAGGGGGGGGGGTGCAAATTTTAAATTTTCGAGGACCAAAAAAAAGATATGTGCTCACTACCCCCCCCCCCCCCCCCCTCCCCCACTGAGCGAATTTTCGGCCGGCGCGATTTTCAAATTTTCGGGAGCAAAAAAAAAAAATAGTGCTCACTACCCCCCCCCCCCCCCCCCCCCCCCCCTTCCACTGAGCGACTTTTCGGCCGGCGCGATTTTCAAATTTTCCCCTAAGAAATCCTGGATACGCGCCTGCATGATAATACTGTAATATAAACGATAAAAGAGTCCTATACCAGTTGGTAACCCCGTACTCTGGGGTAATGAGCGTATTTTCTTTTTGTTTGGTCCTAGAAAATATATAAAAATTTGCACCCCAAAAAGTTAAAAATCATGTGTTTTTACATGATTTTTTCTCAAGGGGGCCGGGCGCCCGGCCTCCCCGGCCCCCCCCCCCTGGCTCAGCCACTGTTATCATGTAAAATACTTCTTGAAAGTATTATTATGTACTAATACAAAGATGATAATAATGCCAAAAGAAGATGGTTATGATCATAATAACGATTAAATTTTTTTTTTAGATAAAAGTAATTATTTAGACATTGCGTCCTGGTACAATAACTTAAGTGGAAGTGGGTGCTGACATCGTTCACCCCAAGATCATCTACCTAGTCTAAAACTTTGGGACATTTGTCATAGTGAATAAGAAAATTGTCGTGAAAATATAGGTCTATATACTACAAATAAATCGGATCCGCTTGTCGGAATATGTCGGCCTAGACTATATCCCACCGCCTAGGCTAACTACGGAAGCCCATTAGTGCCACCTACGAAATAAATTTGAGAGAAATTATCTGCGGCCGCCGTTCATTAATTATCTGGCGGCCCACTTAATTATCTGGCGGCCGCCAGTTAATTATCTGGCGGCCGCCAGTTAATTATCTGGCGGCCGCCAGATAATTATCCGTGTCTTCACGGTTGTTTCATCGCAAAGCATGCGGGACATAATTCTAGTACATTTTTACCTTCGCCGTGATCAGCTGTCCCGTTGCAAAAACGGGATTCTTATCGAAGCAACATCTTAATCTTGTACATAATCCGCTATTCTGCAGTGATTTTCTTTCACTCCAGTATCGTTTGTACGGTAAGAAACCAAAGTTTGTGTTTATTCATTTTATGACGAATAAAGCTGATAATACGACGTAATGCATGAGAGTGGGCCGGGTCAAGCTTGAGTAAATGTAGGCCTAGACCTCTAGATCCAGTCCCGTATGTTTAAATGAGTGTGCATTTTAAGTAGACTGATTGCCTTGTGTTTTAGGTAGAAGTTAACAAATTTACAGTAAAATGAGACTTATGTCTCAGGAAATATGAATAGGTCTAGATTCTATAGACTATACATATTTGATATTGGAATAGGATCTACTAGAATGGCCGACAGTTGGATAGTGATGGCAATTAGTAAATGTAAAAAAGTAAAAGAGGCCATGAAAACGATAGATTTGTCGATCTTGATCTGAATATAATAGTATGTATTGATGAGCTCTACTTGAGGATCTACATGACAGGGGCGTATGAAGGAATTTTCGAGGGGGGGGGTTAAAATTTGAAAATCGTGCCGAAATTTCACATCGACTCAGCCAGCGGTGAATGAGAGGGGGGTGGGGGGGGGGGGTGGTTAGAGCATCTATTTTTTCCCGAAAATATGAATTTGGCAGACCGATATTTTGTTCAGTTTGATGGTAAGGTCACCTTTTTGGGGTCACCCTTTTGGGGTCACCCTTTAGCACAAAAATATTTCCCCATGATCTAGTGTGATAAGGGTTCTTTTGTTACCGTTATTCTTCAGGTTACCAACTTAAATTTGATTGTCTTTTTCCTTTTATTTATCAGTTGCAGCATCATCAAACACTATGGCCGATGAATCAGAAGATGACGTAGATGCTACAAGAGAGCTCATTTCACAATGGACAACAGAAGTGATACGTGACTTTCTACAAGGAGGGGACTCAAGCTTGTAGGAGTCATTATTTATGGGTGTTCTCTGCCCTGACGCTGGGGGTAATGTTCAGCCATTCGAGGTAGAGAGGTAGAGAGGAACTGGACGATGGATGGATGGGGGGGGGGGAAGAAAGGCATGTAGAGATGGCCGTCTACTATGTATAGAGACATTTGTGTGCTACTGGATAAGGACCCTCCATCACTAGAGGGGAAGAATAAGAGAGACTACAAAGAGGGGAAGGCATTTAGTTATTTTGTCAGTTTCTGGTTAGGGAGACATTTGTTTCATCTCCTGGGAGAAAGCTGTCTGAAATTCAAAATGTATTTGATACTTGAATAAATTTAGTTCATTTTCTAGACTGGTTCATGTCAAACCATTGATTCTACTTTCTTGTGAGTATACACTGTGCAGAGAGAAAGAGAAGTAACAGAGTAAAGAATGAAAATTGAAAAAGAAGCCAATATTTGAACGAGGAGGAGAAAATGGAGATTACGTTGTTGCCCATCAAGTTGGAATAATTGTCTTACTGTTTGTACATAATGGTCATATATTATAAGAACTGTATTGATCAATCTCAGGAGTCTTATACATGTAGATTGATTAATACAGTTTTGAGATGATGATGAACGAGAAGGAGAAGAGGGAGGAAATATCAAGAGTTGATGAAGAAAAGATTGATAGAGGGGTTATCATTACAGAGA